AAGGTTATAATATGCTAACTGTAAAAAAATTTCATAGCATTGACTCATCTTTATTCTCTCAACCATTCTCCTCTTAATGGTGCTGTTTAGGAGGCAAATTACTTTTTCTGCTCCTAACTTAACCTGGGCTCTGTCTGTTAGATTTACTATTTGGAAATCAGTGGTAACCTATTTCTACAGAACTGACTGAAATTCTAGCTAAAAAATCTGAAGCTCTAACCCTAACTAACCCTTTCACAGAGAAGTATTTTAATAAAAGTAAGTGTCCTTCACCTCTCAGACTGCAGTTTTACAGCATTCGTGCCCCAAGGAGCAGCTTCCAATGTTTTTGCATTGACCAAAAGGATGCTGAAGGAGTATTTAGTGGATTCCAGTGGAAAAGAAATGTGTTTTTCCAAGATCCAGTTAAGGCATGGGATAACAATGGTACTATTCTGTCAGCAATATTAGGATTTATTTGCTTAGCTTTACCCTACCTTTCTTTTTTATCCTGCCTTTGATTTTATCCTGCCTTTTGATTTTGATTCAACAGTCAGTTCACCATCATAATGACTATACTTCAGCAGCAAGGAGCACGATCATTATTTGACCTCTCTTCTCATAGCGAATTTCACCTTACAACAGGGAATAAGCACAATTAATAATTTCACTTTACAGAAATGGCTCCCCCATTCTCACCCCTACCCATCCTTGTTCTTTCAGCAGCAGAGCCTCCGTGCTTTTACTGTCAGAGTATCTCTGCTGATACCACGTGGTGCCTGGCTAATGCTGTGCAGTCAATTATGCAGTATCCGGGCAGAGAAGCAATCACAGCACGTATGAACGCAACATTAAAGTAATCACCTGATGTCTCAGCTCCATCCTTACCACTGCTGCTAGTGGGAAGGGTCTCTAAAAAACAGTCCCGTGCCTTTTTTCATTCTCTGTCTCCTTCCCTGTTTTGTCGTAAAATATTTGCTTTGTGTTAGGCACAATTACAGTCAGGCATATAGAAAGAAGGGGGGGTTGCTAATAACATTCCACTTTATCAACCAGCAGAGCTCTCACTTTCTGTACACTGATATTAAATATAGCAGTGGAAAGGCAAGCACAATTACACACACACTCACACACACTGCCAAGATAGGGCTTAGCTATTTTTCTCTTCTTAAAGAGGGCAAGGAAAACTGTTTACCTACTTGGACTAATACCATCTCAAGCCGTAATTGGTCATACCTTTTTAATTTTCATCACCACGGGATGTTCATATAATCAATATGATATGCAGCACTTTCACAATTACATTTACATTTTTCATTTAGGAATTTGAAAAGCTATTCTGCTTGCTGTTTTCGTAACACCATAGCATTACACATATTCTGTTTGGGAAGGACGGGAAATATTAAAAAATGACACAACACAAAAAACTGAGTTATATACTTGTAATTCCTCTGCTCCCACTCCTAACATTTACCACTGTACCCTCTGTAATTTGTGTGAAATGCCTCATCTCTCACTCTCATGGTCAGAAACCTGCACCTTCAAGCTGCAAAGAAAAGGTTATCACTTCAATTCATTCATGGGCAAATTGCTCAAACTCAGCTGTCAATCATCAGTCCACTCCAGCATCTGAGCTGATTTGTATCTATCATGGGTGTTTACTCAACAGATTCTCACAAGCAAACTGGAGCAGAGAAAATGTGTTTAATGATAGCATCATGCCGACAACACGTTTTCTGCAGATAACATTTGCATTATGTGTTTACTGTTTGCAGGGCATCTGGAAGACTTCAAATGAAAAGGAAGACATCTTTCTTTTTCTGAACTCATATTCTCTACAAAAAACAAAGCATAACTCCATAGGAAAGCAGTTCAGATGAGGAAGCCTGGATGTAACTTTGCCTTTTCTTCTTGCTCTCTTTCTACATTCCTATTTTTTTTTCATCCTACTCAATTTCTTTCTCCTGTTTTTAATTCCTATTATTATCTTGCTTTGGAAAAAATATAACCAACAGAAGAAAAAAGCAGATGCACTCAGGTCTTACTCTCATAGTTTCAGCAATTCATGAATTTTGAATATGAATAGAGATTGAAACTAATCAACAGATGGTTGGAAACATGAACATTAATGAATTCTGAATCCCTGTATTACTCTACCAGGTATTGTTTGGATATAAAGAATATATGTGTAGTCTAATCATCACTTTTGGAAAAGAAAGCTAGCAGTTTCTTTAGCTGTCCCATGTCTGACGTACATTTTAGACAGTAAACTGTGTTACATGCATGTATCCTTTGAAAACAGAAAAAGAACCAAAACCTGACAAATACCTTTAGGAACTTCTAATGCCCTCTGCTTGAAAATCCACCACCCCAAAACTTCATTTTCATGAGAGGTGGGAAAAAAATATCTTAAATATTACTATAACCTAAATATTAATTCAGATTTGCACCTCCACAAACCAAAGGAAATCTAAGGCACTCACAACAATGAACCAGTAAAGAAATGTGAAATTAGGTATAAGTAGTTATTTACCCTCAGGCAGACATTAACGTCTACCAGCAATCTGTTTTATATAAGTAATAAGCTGCTGCCACCTTCTGAAAAAAGCTCAGCACAACTACAAATGCCATCCATCTTTCTCTCAAGGCCAAAGTAATGACATGCATATTCTAAGCCAAGAAAACTAGGCAACTAAACAAATTCTGCTGCAGCATCAATACAAAAAAAATCTGCTGCACTGACACTCCTGCTCAAGAAGCTAATCTGAGGGTGGCACCAACACTTCCAAGCACAAATGTAAGAATGGCACCCTTATCCCAACTCAAGAAAACATTTTGACATCTAGTAACCATCAAACCGATAAAAGTGACACTGAAGCAAGCCAACAGGACAGTGACCTGTTGGACATACCCTTCTTCACCTCTTCACCTCATATGCTTGAAAAAGAGTCTGCTCTCCTTGGAAACAACTTGCAACCACAGCTTTCTCATTATAAAGCACTAGAAAGCGGACATTTCTCTCAGTGTTTTCGGCAAGAACCTGCTGCTTCAGTGTCACCACCACTGACAAGCAGGGACCACCTTTCTGGTAGAACTGGATACAACAGGGGTTGTGGTATGAGCGACGCCCTATGCCCTGTAAATGGGCCCCCGCTAACTAACACTGGCTGTGTGCTGATCCAGAACCAGGAGCTTCTGCTCAGAGTAGTTCCAAATCTTCGGTGACTCTGAGAGGTCATGACCTGGTGTATTTTTTCCCTCTGCCAACTCCAGCCTTCACAATGGTGGAGTTAGCTTTAATTTAATTTACATTCTAGCAGCAAAGGTAGTATCAGAGGGTACAACATCAGAGCTGCAGAAAACCAGTTTCACTTCTAGCCAATCAGTGCCTAACAGTCATCATCTCCATATGAATAAATTGATAACCTCTTGAAAATTTTCCAAAAAAATCAAATCATGTCATTTTAACCCTGATTTTCAAAGCAAATGAGGATTATATCATTTTACTGGCTAGTTGGTCCATTTTCCCATAACCTTTAAATGCATTGATGATTTTCAAGTAAAATTGATCATAAATTCAAAGTCTCAAAAATATAATTTCTAGAAATTTAGAAAAACCGTAGAGCACACAGACAGAAAAAATCAATTTTCAACATCTGTACTGCTGACAGGCCAACCTGCTTCAATGACTGCAGTCCTGTGATTTGGGAGAGGCGAGGGAGAAATCATAATCCAAACTATAAGCTGCATGGGAATTTTTTGGGCAACACCCAGGGTCCACGGTGGCAGAATAATAAAATGTATTTGCTTTGGAGGCAATTCTGAGTTATGCTGGGAACACGGCCTGAAATAAGACTTTTCCAGTAATTCAATAAATGTAAAAGCCTGTGTCTAAAGACGCTTGCAAGAATGAAACAAATTAATATGGAAAGACAGAGCTACCTCTTGGCCCCTTATGACATCCCTTTGTATGCACCACAAGGCCTATCACAACCTCTATACATTTACTGTCAAACTTATATTTCTCAGTGCTAGTAGACAGGTCTCAGTGTGCCATTCCAGCACTTTGAGGCTTTATACATCTGATGAAAAATAACAAAGCAGCTGTTTAGGAGAATTGCTGATTTTGAGGGATAACACTCTTATTAATTTGTGTCACAGAATCAGCCTTAATTTCATGACAAAGCACAAGTTGTGACAGACGTAAAACTGATTAATTTAATTGGAAGCATATCTCTGAAAGTCATTTAGCAAACATTTCAAAAACTTGCACGGGGAGCTCTTCACCACTGTCTTGGGTGGTTAAGATCCCATGTGGGGCTTTTTGGCTAAAACTGAAGGGGTCACAGATTTGTGCGTTACATTTCTGACCACTGGGCTTTTTTTTTTTTTTCCCTAATTTCTGAGCAGAAAAGCTACACCTGGGATGGAGTCCTCCACGATTTCTGGTTTGTTTGTTTGTTTGTTTCCTCAAGGTCACAGAACCACCAGCAATATCAGTGACCACCAGTCCCGATTATTTGCAGGTGTCTCCTCCCCTTGTGCAGTTACAGAATCATAGAAGGCTAAGGGTTGGAAGGGACCTTAAAGACCCCCTAGTCCCAATCCTGCTGCCATGGACGGGAGTACCTTCCACTACACCAGGCTGCTCTAGGCCTTATCCAGCCTGGCCTTGAACACTTCCACACATGAGGCACCCACAGCTTCTCTGAGCAGCCTGTTCCAGCATCTAACCACCCTCACAGCAAAAAATTTGTTCCCTACATCCAGCCTAAACCTTCCGTCTCTCAGTCCGAACCCGCTGCTCCTCGTCCTATGGCTACATCCCCCGACGGGGAGTCCCCCTCGGGGGCGGGGCCGGGGCCGGGGCCGGGGCGGGGCGGGGCCCGCCGGAGCTGTTCGGGCGGCGGGTGCTGAGCGCGGCCGCGCCGCCTGGTGCAGCCGGGCGGGGCCGGCGCCTCCCGCGCCCGCTCGCTCGGGGGAGCCGGCGGGGGGAGCCGCGCCCGCCGCCGCCGCCGCCGCCGCCGCCCGGGGCCATGGCGGCGCTGGTGCTGGTGCTGCTGGCGGCGCTGGGCGGCCGGGCCGTGCTGCCGGGCGGGCGCTGCGCGGCGCCGCTGGCCGACCTGCGCTCGCAGATCTCGGGCGTGGAGACGCTGCTGGAGGAGTTCCGCCGGCAGCTGCAGCAGGAGGAGCCGGGGCCGCCGGCGACGGCGAGCGGCGGCGGGGGCGGCGGGGAGCGGTGCGGCGGCAGCGGCAGCTTCTCCGCCAGGCCCGACTCCATCATCCGCACCAAGGACTCCATCGCGGCCGGCGCCACCTTCCTGCGGGCTCCGGGTGCCGTGTCGGGCTGGCGGCAGTGCCTGGATGCCTGCTGCGCCGAGCCGCGCTGCACGCTGGCCGTGGTGCAGGGGCCCGCCCGCCCGCGGGGCACGGCGGCCGAGCCGGGCTGCTACCTCTTCAACTGCACGCACCGCGGCCGCCCCGTGTGCCGCTTCGCCCCGCACCGCGGGTACAGCTCCTACAGCCGCCGCACGGCCGGCAGCGCCCCGCAGGGTAAGCCGTCCGTCTGCGCGGCGGGGAGCGGCGGCCCCGCGGCGGGGCGGACATGGCGGCGCTCGGGCGGGGGGGCGGCGGGGCCGGCGGGGGGAGCGGGCGCCCTCCGTGCGGCCTCCCCGGGGCCGGGAAGGCGCTCCCGGGACGAGAGTCGCGGCCGGCGGGACGGGGAGGGGTCGAGGAGCGCCTTTCGGCAGGACTGCCCCGAGCCGGGAGAGGCGGCCCGGACCTATGTGTATAAGTACCTGAAGGCAGGGTGCCAAGAGGATGGAGCCAGGCTTTTCTCGGTGGCGCCGAGCAGTAGGATAAGAGGCAACGGGCAGAAACGGATGCCCAGGAAGTTCCACCTCAATATGAGGAAGAACTTCTTTGCTGTGTGGGTAACCGTGCATTGGAACAGGTTGCCCAGAGAGTCTGTCCAGTCTCCCTCACTGGAGATACTCAAGAACGATCTGGACACAATCCTGTGCCATGTGCTCTAGGATGACCCCGTTTGAGCAGGGAAGGTAGACCAGATGACCCTGTGGTCCCTTCCAGCAGCCCCGTTCTAGGGGGCTGTTCGGGCTTTGGGGGTGTTCAGGCTTGGGGAAACCCACCCCTCACCCCTCTGTCTCTGCAGAACCCTTGGGGTCCACTGTGCCAGCCAGCCTGCGGCTGGGAGCCAGCCGATCAGGTGAGCATGTTCACGGGCCACATGTGCCCAGGGGGACCAGAGAGGTCCTGGCTCCCTGAGAACTACAGGTGCTGGACACCTTGGAAAGCATGACTGGGGTGCTGATCCCAGCTATGCCAGAAGCTGGTGCAGTAGCCTGAGGGCAAGCACATGCTTTTCTTCTTGGGGCTGCTGTCCAAATGTTATTGCCCAAGCTGGTTTCTCATTCACTTAATTCAGGATTTTTCCTGCTTCAGACCTTGAGAGCTAGACTGAAGAAGACAAGGATACCTCACCAGTAGTCCAGAGGCAGCATGGACATTCTCTATAAGCACCTCTGGAGCCTGGACCACATCCAAAGCAGCAGTTTGTTCAACCCTAAAGCATATTTAAAACCAACATATTCCAGAGCAGGCAGCTGTAGATGAAAACAAGTCTGGATTTCTAAATTTGGAGTCTGTTTCCTAGCACCTGATCCAAGAATTTACTTTCCCTCCCCCACCTCCTGTTGTTAAACAGTTACATCTTAAATAATTTTGACTTAATTTCATTACCTCTGTTGACAATACCTTCCTAAATATCATCTGCATCTTCTTCAGCAGTAGATTTCAGCTGAAGTAAATTAGTCACTGCAAGCAACAGGAAGACCTGGTGTTGATGTGTATGAAAACTGTTCCCAGATGTGCCTGCTGTTACTGCTCCCTTGGCAGGGGAGACCTCAGGCTTGAGGACCATCAGTCCTGCCTGTTTCTTGCGAATGTCAGTGGGAATCCCCTGGAAGTATGAGAGAGCAGGGGCTCAATTTGTAGAGGCATTAGGATGCCTAAATATTTTTTGCAAAGTATGTGAGCAGGTAGATTAGAGAGCTATAGCAAGAATCTTATGTCACTAGAGATGAGGAAAGCTTAAGGTAACAGAAAAACCCAAGGTATGATTTTGACGTTTTCAACAGGGAGAGTATTAGTTACACAGTATCATTTATGTAGCAACTTCAGGGTAATTGTGTTCCATAAGCCCCCATTCACTTGCAAGACAGAAGGCTTAAGGCTAGATTTTACATCAAAGTATTGATTTAGGCTTAATTTTTAACTTCCCTAATTTTTTAAAAAACCTGTAGCTAATATTATTGTACAACTGATACTCTACCTATTAGAAATCTTGAATTTCTTGAATTCCTTGAGTTCTTGAATTCTGGAATTCTTAAATGCTTTGCCTTTTTGTTAGATTTGTGACTATCAGCACTGGGCTTGCAAGGCAATTTTAATTCCCAATCTGCAAATCGCTCTGTGTCCTTTTGGGTTTATTTAAAAGTCTGCCTTGTGGGTGATGGTGGTATCAGAAACAGGGGATTATGATTTCTTAATGCAATTACACTGGAGCTGAAGCCAAGCCACAAAAGAAGAATGAACTTTTATTCAAACATCTGTCAGTTGTGACACAGACCAGGAGAGATAAAATTAAAATTGAATTATTTTGCTCTGATGTTTTTTTACCACTGAATTCTTGAATTACATTGAAAAATAATCTGAACAGCAGGACAACGAAGGCACATCTCTGTTCCCTTCTGTCACCACATGACTGAAGTTAGAAAATTTAGGAAAGAATTTTTCATTTCAAGATTTTCTTCCATGAGGGGACCATGTTTTAGTTGTTCCTTTTATTTTATTTTATTTTTCAGAGTAATTTGGTGTTGAGTCTTCTGTTGTTTTCTTTCTGAGAATACCAAACCAGCATTTCTCCATAGATGTGATGCCCTCATAATTCCAGAATATTTTTGAGCATTAGGATACAGTGATCTCTAGGGTGTGGTTTCATTTATGTTAAGGATCTTCATTAAACCAAACCAACTTGCTTATTTAATTCTGTGAGCAATTAATGGCAGATACATTTTTCTCAGATCAAGTGTGTCTGTGCAATTCCAGGACAGTTTAGAGAGACTTACATTTCAGTGTAAGTCCTAGTTCTTCCCTATACACCCAGTTTGTGCTGGTTTGACTGTGGATTTATGTTGCACTTCCAGGCAGTCTGTGCTGTGCTAAGACTGAAACCCTATATGCCTATATTGAAATGAGAGGTAATTGTTTTTGCCTTTGCTAGGCAAATTCTTAAATTTTTGATGTAGAAATAAAGAGGACTTGAGTGTCTCACTGGAAATGTCTGACTTTGCTTCACTGTCACTCACTAGTGATGAGCAATGGAAAGATTCAACATTAAGGTAAACTAATATCAAACACATTCAGGAGTTGTCAGTGAAATAAACTTTTTTAACAAAGTCTTATTGGCAGGATAAGTCTCTATAAAGGATGAAGGAAGCAGAGTAAACCTATCATGTTACCACCCCTCCCCAAAAGAAAAAAGTGTTTTTATAAAATTGCACCCCTTTTTCTAGAAAGAAACCAGCTCCAGCATCTCAGAGTGTTGACCTGGGATATCAGTTCTGTGCTGTTTATTTACATTCAACCTAATTGCAAGTTAAAAACAGAAGTTTAGAGATGCTTTCTGAGCTTTATTTTTCTGCTAAGCTGTGGCTGATAGTCCTTCACTCCCATGAGTGGTGGTTTTAAGTGGCTCCTGAGTATGTCTCCTTGGGTTTTTATGCTGATTTCTTAGAAGCATGTATTCCCTGGATTTGAAGGTGTTTCACTTGCTAAGGATCATGTATTCCATTGCTTAAAACTTGGCTGTGGAAAAAAAGTCTTCAGCTCAATAGACTATCTCCTCCCATGCCATATGCCTCTATCAGGACAATTTTTCCTTTACTAGAGCAAAACTTGAGCAGTTTTGCCATTGATTTACCTTTCTGAAGATGATCTAGTGGCATACAAGCAAAGGGTGGTGTTTCCATCCTCTGGGACCAGAGGTCTGTGTGGTCCCTCAACTCATCTTTAGCAAAGAGCTGTCATGAATTTCTGTGACCCGCCTCAACATGAAGTGGTCCTTCCATTGCGGCTCATGCTGTGTCTCACCTAAAAAATCCAATGCGCAGGCTGGAAGGTGGAAAGACCTTCCCCGGTTCTTCGTTCGCGAAGAGACTGGCCATTATGCTGTTGGAGTATAAAGTTAGTCCAAGAAGAGAGTATCCTTATTGCTTAGGGCCCAGGGGCAGTGGGTTTTGTCTCTGCCCCTGAAGGGCATTAATCTACTCATTTAAACAGGCAGGTGACATGAAACCCCTTTCCAAGGTAGAAGAATGGGCTGAGCTGTTTCAGACCGAGGTTGGTGTCTTTTTGACAGTTATTGGTAAAGTTAATAATTGTGGGAAGATGTTACATAACTCATATATACCAAATAAAAGTTGCCCTGGCACTGTAATGGTGGTGTTTATTAATGAGGGGGTTTTTTTGCAGATGTTGCTTTTTAAACAAAGTTGCTTTTGAGAACTGAGTGTATACAAATTAGGCAAACCTTCCCGAGCCAGCTAGATGAGTGAGAATTGGTTTCTACTTACTACTATCAGACCCTGTTCTCAGTTATGTTTTCCTAACTTAAAGCATTTGCCTTGAATTTTTCTATGCCTTACCTACTGCTGACAAAAGCAAGAAATAAGAAGTTTGCTGTTCAGTCAGAGATAAACAGTTACCCAACTGCTCTGATGAGCTCCATGACTTCGAGCATGTTCTTGATACTGTTGTAAACATGTCCAAGTAAAATCCCCACAGTAGGGGAAATGCCTTTCCTTGAGCAGCTCACACAGAGTGAAGTTACAACATTGTGTTCAGTAGATGCTTTTCTGAGCATAAAATCAATATCTTTACAGGAGTTGAAGAGCAGAAAACTCTCTGGCACTCCAGAATGCCCACAGAAAGAAGGAAATTTGAGTGCGGAAGTGCAGAAAAATATAATCTTGTGGCTAAAGTTGTCAAATACTGACTTATTGAACTAGATTTTGTCCCTCTGTCTTCTCTGCACTGCCTGCAGGTTGCAGAACAAATGATTTAAACTACTTCTCACAGGCTGTGTCACTTAACAGATCATGGCTTTTGTTAGTCTAACCTGAAAAGCTTGTGGTTTGATTGGCAGAAGTACTTAGTACTCACAATTTTAATCAATAGCGATTGTACTTTGAATATAGCAAAATGCTACAAATCCTAAATAGTCTGAAAATCAAGCTTTGAATGTCTTAAATGAGGCACTTAAAATTGGTGGTTGTTTCTGATGATTTTTAATCATTATGTGCACTACTTCAGCAGGGTGCCAGCTTATGCTAAATAAGTCTTTCACTCCTGTAATGACATGTTATAAAAAGAGACTAAAAGCCTATTAAGTTATGCAGAGTGCTGCTGTAACTGTGTATGTAATTCATGTTTAAACCCATTTTCCTTAGTTCAGATTAAAATCTACACTGATGCTAAAAATCCTGTTTGTTGTATTACTGAAACACACAGTTGCCTGAGAAGTTTTCTATGCCATGTGTTTCTAATGTAGCAGATAATTCCCAAAGACATCATTGAATATAGAATAATTAACTAAAATTGAACTAGGTATTACTTTGCTTAATAAAATGTGCACTAATGAACATGTCCATCTTTCAGAAAGTTGCACAGGAGTGAAACAATACCTTAACCAAGAAACAAAAATGTGCTCTATATAAATAATAACTCAGCTTCCTCTGATAAGTAACTGGTCTTCTCTTTTTTTATTGAAGAAGAAGAATACGATGAGCCTCCGCAGTGCAAGGCAGGACAAGATATTGTGCTGCAGTCACCTGTTGACTGGGTGCTTTTGGATGGCCGAGAAAGTTCAGATGACCATGGAATTGTGCAGTATGAGTGGGCACTGCTGCAGGGTGACTCATCGGTTGAAATGCAGGTACATGTGCAGTCTCACACACGGACAGTTACTTCCAGATTGTTATGTTTCTACAGTTTTAAACGTAGAGCTAAAAATATTAAATGTATTCAAATGGATCTGTCTACCAGGCACCAAAATTAGGATGTCTGTAAAATTTGAAATGTAGAGCAGCCCAGGCTGGAAGAGACTTCAAAAGATCATCTGGTTCAACCTTTTGTGGGACAAGGAGTCTAGATGAAATTATCTGTCAGATCACATCTGGAAGACCTCCAGTGAAGGAGGCTACACTGTGTCCATAGGGAGTTTGTTCCAGTGATTATTTCTAGTGGTTTATACAGTTAATCTCTATCCTGGATGGCATGAGACAGACAGCAGCAAACAAGTAGATGCTAATACTTTACTGTATTTCAGCTCTGCTTTCTTTTGCCATTGTTTGTGCTCACTTGCACTTGGTTTTCAGCTTCAGTGATCCAGGTTAGAGACCCCTCAGTAATTCAGTTACTAAAAATTACTACCTTATTAGGTACTTTCACCAACAGCATTCTGTCAGTGCTTCTGGAGAAACTGCAAAGAAATGTGTGATATAGAATTTTTGAGATATTTAAGAGTCTACTCATAGTCTGATCACAGCCCACAGTATCCACGGCACACTGGGAACTCCATCTCAAGCAGGAAGGATATGTAAAGGTTAGAGAGTGTGGACCAAAACGAAGCTTTAAGAATAGTTGCTAGATATCATCTAGATGAAATGAACATTTTATTAGCAAGTTGTTAACATAACCCCTTGCAGTATTATTTTCTTTCATGAGCAATTAAATACTCACTGATGTAGTATATTCAGAGTAAGATAAAAATTTAAAAAAAAATTAAAATGTATATGTTTTACTATTACTCAGAGTCACTCTGAAAAGTACAGACAAGCTTCATATCTATTTGAACTTGTGAAAATCACATTAATCTTGGTGGTTTCTTTGTATTTGTTAATGGAAAATGAATTTGACACACATTCATGCTTAAATAAATACTTCTCCATTGTGTTCAAATGAGCAGGAATTTCTCCTACAGATATGTACCCTGATGATTAGTCATGACAATTTAATTTTTAAAGTTGAATTAATAATTGTAATTTTTTCATACATTCTTCAGTTGATGTCTTTTGTGCTTTAGTTACTGCCCTGAAGTTACTGAATTTCATGTCATTTATTCTTTGAGAATAATGCATGAATCCATAGTTACAAGGGAGAATGGGAATGTGTTTAAATAAGATAAAAGGCAGCTGTTGCATTGCTCTTAGGGACTGAAGAATAAATAGAAGACAAAGGAGGGGAAAGGACTGCTATAGAGAGATCATATTGTAGAAGGAAGCCAGCATAATTAATTTTTCTTCTATTGTGACTGATTATTGCTTTTTAGATAATTTGCTTCTCAGATTGGGACCCACACTCTGTAGCTGAGCAGCTCCTCAACACTTAGGGACAATAATGGGCTGGGGTTTTTTAAAATGCTGATTATCTAGAAATTTACTATCTATTTTAAGCCAAAGTTTTTAAGAGAGCAGGTACAGGCAATCATTCTTCAGGGCAGATAAAAAGGAAAGCAAAGAGGTCACTGGGAGCAGTGGTGGTGTATTTGGAAGTCAGTGGCATTTCTCTAGCTCTGCACTGAGAAGAGACTTGGACTCCAGGGCTCATGAGTTTTAAATACTGCATTTGCTCTCCTAGTAGTCATAGTGAACAGCAGAACATATTTTTTAGAGCATATTCATTTCTGTGATAGACTAAAGAATAAAATTCTAAGGGGTCATACACTCCATCAGGAGGTAATCAACAGAATGATCAGATAGCCGAGTGCATTTATGTAAATGGAAAAGGAAAGATATTTAAGTTAGCAAATTTTATTACTCAGAGACAAAAATGCATTTATCAATACATTCTGCTATGAAGGTAGGTCTAGGATGCTATGATCATATTAATCAAAAACTCCTGTTAGGCATGAAAAGCAACTTTAAATAACCTAAGATCTTTATTGAATCTTTGGTTTAATGTTAAAGATAATCACACATGATTTTAATATGCCTTTCAGTTACTTGTAAAAATAGTCCTGTGTGCTTCATTTGTAAAAATGCACTACATGTCCAGTAAACCTGCAGTGCTTTTTTGTAGTTACTGAAGTGTTAGTGAATTCTGAGACAGCTGAAATTATTTGTGACTGGTAATGGTTATGAGTTTAAAAAAAGTTCAACATTTACAAATACCCCACTCATTTTGTACAGAGGTACTCCTAAATTACTATAGTACTGATGATGCTAGTTTGGTACCTGCTTTAAATTACTATAGAATAAATTATTTTATTAATTTCTTAGTGAACTAATACACTTTTAAGTTTTTTTTATCCCATGACTTAATGAAACCAAATGATTACATCACTCACTGTAGATAAACTTATTTCTGGTTCAGAGCAAGCCATGGAAATGCAACATAGGACGTGGAAAAATTCAGTCCAGCAATTTGCAAAAGTTGTAAGTGTCTGCATCAAATGTCATACTGGTCAGAGGTGGGCAGTCTTGTTGATAAAGCCATGCTACCACTTACTTTATCATAAATCAATATATAGCAAAAGTCACTTCTGTGGATCCATGTATATTGTCTACAGACTAAATAGTGAGCAAAAGCCTCATATTTTACTGCCTACCCTCTAATCTTACATTTCTACTTACTGAAAAATTGAGTTAAATGTATGTGTCCATTTATTTTCCAGTGCTAAGATCCACAGCTCCAGGTAACTGAGTGTACCATGAAAAACAGTACCTAAATATTGTGTTTATTTTTACAAATGGATGCAAAAAAAAAAAAAATAGATCAAATGTTACATGTTGACAAACATGCTTGAGTAGGTTGAATAGACTTGAGAGAATTATTTAATTTCCATGAAACGATCTCCCTATTCCTAGAAGTTTATGGATGGATTGTTTATACCAATATGTTTTTTTTCCACTGTCTGTCTTTATCAGGTACCACAACCAGGAACACTGAAACTGTCTCACATTCAGGAAGGCGGGTATATTTTCCAGCTAACTGTGACAGACACTGCAGGTCAGCAGAGCTCTGACAACGTCTCTGTGACCGTTCTGCCCATGGTTCATTCTGCAGGAGGTGAGAAAACAAGCTGTTGTTGCCTGAGTGACACCCAGGGTATGGTATTCAGAGCAGAGCAAGCGTCTTGATAGAGGCAAAAATCTTATTCTCCATTTCTAGTGTTTTATTTTGTCTGCATCCATTACATAATGGCATCTCTTTCAGCTTTGAATCACTCTTTCAAAGTGAAGAAACAAACAAGCAGCACTTGTGTGCTACAGCAGTAATACTTCCAAGCACTGAATGTTTGTCCTTCTACTGCTTATAAGCATGCACTTGTAAAGGTGTAAGGGTTGTAAAAATTAAATGCTGCCAGAGGTATCAGGCACATTGTAACACTGAGATGGTGTAGACAACATGGCAAGTCTTGTGCTATAGGGAAGACCTAGCTAAAATCAGTTAATTTTATGTGTGAGGCAAACTTAATAATAATAGTGACCTGCATCTGTAGTCTAAAAGACAGCATGACTTCTTGTTTTCATGCATTTAAGGTTTTCTGTCTAGTGGTTGTTATTGAAGCCTTATGCTACTGGGGAAACTGAAACTGGAACTGACCCATCATTTTTAAACTCTGAGCCCCAGAAACATGCAAGAAGCATAAAGGGTAGAAAGTAAGTTAGATTTCAGTGGCTGTCAGTCCTGGTCTCTTTAATGTAATAACTTCTAATTACATTGTAATTAACAAGTTGCTAGTACAGATCTGCTGCTCTGGCACAAAGTAGAAGTTAAATAGTGTTAACATCCAGTTCAGCTGGACCGGTGAGAACCTTGCTCTGCACCAGTGCAATATCCCTATGTGAGAAAGTAGTCCCTGTGCCAATAAACTGGTATTGCAAAAAAACCTGCTTAATAATGCCTGTGTTCCAGTAATGGATTATAGAGCTGTGTTCATAAACTTTTAATTCAGCTAAAGCAGCTAGAGAGGTTTACTGGCTTGTTTATTTGCTTCTGTGGGTATCAGGGTTATCTTTGGTATGGAGCACATAGAGGATGCACTATCTTTTTTATTTTTCTAATTCCACATCTATGTTAGCAATTCAGGTGTTACTGCTATAGCTAAACCAGTGCCTTAATGCATGCAAGGTCTGTGCTATTATTAGAGCTGAAGTTTAGGAGATGCATTTTCTGATTTTAGGGGTTTTAAACAGGCATCTGTGTTCCTGCCATGCTTCCATTAGCATTGCACAGTTTTTTTGGTGCACAGCAGGATAACAACCGAAGGCTGTGACTCCCTTATGCAAATCGATTTGCTGTTACAACATTAATCAAACACTGAACTTGATAGTGCTTTACAAAGAGATGAAGGACACTGCTGTTAGAAAGACAAAAGCACATATGTAAACACTTGATAATTAAAGGATCAGAATGGGTTTCAAGAAAGCTTCGAGTATGCAAAATGAAATGTCCAGGGACACTTTCCATTTCCAGAGGAATCTAAATATTAGAGCAGGCAGCAGTCAGTCCTTTCTGGTGAAAGTCATTTGAGAGACCTTGTGCTAGTCCTATTCTGGTCCGTGCTGTATTGAAGTCATTGGATTACTGATGGAAATAAATGACGAGCACTCTCTATGTACTTTAATTAGGTTGCAGAAAACATGCCATAAAGGATCCCATATAGTCTGTATGTGTGCATGTAAACCAACATATTGTCAGAAATACATAATGGGTATGTAGTAGGAATTACATGCTGGAGGGATGCCATTACAGCCACAGAGATTTCATTTATTTGTTTTCAGGACTGTTCTGGGTCCTTTAAGCCTAAGAAGATCTCCTTTCAGGTTAGGCCAGCAGAATTTAAAGCACTGTAAGGGTGCTGCACAAGGTATAAGGTGCAACAGCCTCCAGGTTGTGTATTCCTGCAGTAAGAGATTTCCAGAATAGTGATGAAGGTGCCAGAAATAGCTATTAACTATTAGCTTCCATGTCAATATGACATCATATAGCTGAGTCTGACCCTTCTTCAGCTTTCTGCCTTGTTCATGGTCCTTCTTGATATGGCAGGATTTTGCCTTTTCCTCAGTGCTGCAGATTTTACTCACTGACCCAGTACTTACTACCTGGATTTCTTGGTAATTTGGGAATTGTTTCTCAACAGCCTGTGTTGGGGTTTGCTCTCGCTATCAGTTTATCTGCGATGATGGCTGCTGCATTGACATCACTTTTGCTTGTGATGGTGTGAGACAGTGCCCTGATGGATCAGATGAAACTTTCTGCCAGAATCGTAAGTGTGCCAGGCCACGATGTAGATTGTGGAAGTAACCACAGCCCAAATGACCAAAGGGGAATGATGCCACTTCTGTGGCCTCTCTCCCTATGAGCAAGCAGCTTGCTCCCAGCATAGAGCCCTTCTTTGGAATTAGCACATGGGGAGAAGATGTAATGTCTGCATACAGCAGGTGCTCAGAAATTTTCTTCAAAGCATATGAAAACTGTCAAGGGTCCCTAAATGACTGATTTTGTGTTGAATATTTCTAAGATAAGTTTTTTCACTTGCATGATGATTCTGGAAACAAGAACTGTGTTTCAGAGTGTCTCGGAAATATTATTCAAAGTGTCGCTACCACCTTACAAGAATCCGAAACGCTCTGAGCAGGCAGCGGAACCAGCTGATTCATGATCACTCTGTTTGCTTTCATTAGTCATCCCTCAGTATGTGCCCACGCTCAATTAAGTGAATGAAAATTATAAGAGGGTAAATTGGCACAATGGCTAACCACTCTGGCATTGATAGTTTAGTTGCTGGACTTCCCTGTAGAGTTCATGAGCGTACTCTTGCTTAATAGTTAGCAGCAACCAACAGTTCTTGATATATCTGCAGCTCACATTTCATCATATGTGTGAACCTGTGAAAGTTTTTAAGCCTGCCTCAAGGCCCATATTGAAGGGTCTTCCTTAAGAACACTTCCATTCCCTTTAATTATGTACCAAAATTACAGTTTTTGTTTCTGTTAACAGTCAGTCCAGGTCGAAAGACAGTGACACACGCAGCTCTTGGGACTACCCAGCAAAGGACTGTAGGACTGACTGAAAACACAGATGAAAACTTCTCTGCAGAAAACACCCTGAAAGCCACTGTCAGAAATCAACCACTTCTCTCAGTGGATACAGGCACGTCTAACCAATCGCTTTCTCAGGGACCAAAGAAACAAATCAGTGGATTTGTGCCAGGTAAGAGTTGAAATAAATCAGTTACAATAAATCATTCTCTAAAGAAAGAAAATGTCTTGCACCTTAAATTTATTTTAATTGTTTTTTGGTGCCTAAGAGGGAAAAAATTGAAAATATAAAAAAAGAACCTGTAATAATGAAGTTCTATGTAGGTTTTGATTTATTATTGTCATGTCTACTTTTTACCAGGTGCAAAAAGAAAGTTAAAATATAGGGATGCCAGGAAAATAATACAGTCTAAGGAACAAAACATGCAGTGAGCTAAATGCAAATTCTGCCCCAGGTTCAGCTGTGTAGGCTGATGTATTAAGGCTCTTTAAATCTGTAGGGAAGTACTTCAGGAGAACATAATAAAGTACTGTTCAACTTGGGTGAGAGTAATTGCTTTCCTCCTGGTGTTAATTATGACTTCTTTCTTTCTTTCTCCTCTGAACTAATATCTTTAGTATTATTGGCATTTTTTTTCTGAACTGTGTCTCCAGGGCAGGAGTTTTTCATCACTATAGGAAAGGCTTAGCCTTTGGTAACAGGTGAACGTGTACAGGTCCCCAGTATTGTTCTCCACAGTGGCTGCAGGCCTGTAGTGAGTCAGCGTGTGGTGATGTTACAGGCAGAGTCCCCAGCCCTGGCCTTTGTATGAGACCTCCCACTTTTATTTCTTCATGTTTAGACTGATTCATGTACCCCAAAACACATTTATTTATAACCAGCTTTATTTTTCAGTTACAACAGAGCAGTGCTCAGTGCACTCTGCTGCCAACTCTTGTAAAGGGCATTGCCCTGGCTGGCACTTGAGCATTTCTTCAGATGCCTGTACTTCATCTGTGGAGACTGCAAAGGGAGTGAAAACAATATTCTTCCAGAATTAGAGTGCCTCAGTAGGGACTGATAGCAAAATCCTCAGTTTTCCCTTTTTCTGGCAGTGTAGATGACCTTGGTGCTCTTCACTGGAATGACTTAAATTCTAAAGTCTGCTCCAAACCCTTCTCGCTCACATAGTCTTGAGTGAGACCTCATATGGGGCCACCCAAACCAAACATCAAATATCCAAGGGACACTGCAGCCTCCAGGGAAAATTCAGCTGCTAAGTAGGTCTCAGAAACCATCTGGATCGTGAATCCAGACATAAAACCAGAACTGAGGTCACCAACTTCAGCAACCTATAATCGGGGGTTGTAATTGGAAGTACATCCAAAAGTGTGGCACTTTTGCGTAGTCACTTTCTGAGTTTATCTATTGCACAGTGACTTACTTGCACCGGTTTTGCTCTCAAGGTAGCCTTTTGCACAGCAGTAGACATGCAAAGAAAGAAATTCTTATAAAACTAAAAAAGTGTGATGGGGCTTCAGTAATTAGTGTACTACAAGTAGCTGGTTTAATTGTTTTAATTTTAAAAAGGCAAGATTTCAAGCTGACCATGTCTAGTTTTAATTCTTGTGGCTTTAACATTACTTTTTTGACAAAACTCAGTCAAAATTTAATTTTAGATGCGTAAGAATTTCCTTCAGAATAGAAGGTTCCAGTCTTTACTGACCCATGAATCCAATACTTTTAACCAAAAAAGCAGCAAACAGCTCAGTGAGGTTTAAAATCACCTACAGATCAGTTCCAAATGGGGTGCACGTGGTGGGACATGAAGAGGTGCTAGGTACATGGGTCCAAAGGGCAACTGCCAAAAAATGCTCTGCCAAAACCTGCTCTGATCTGCTGTCTTCTCCTGTAGACACTTAAACTTCATAGGAGTCATATTCTGTACATTAATGATTCACAAAGGTTCAAGTCCTGCCCCACCAGAAAGCATCACAGTGTTTATAAAGTTGAGGAGACAGGCACCTAACCTGTTCCTAAAACCCAGATCCATTAACTAGACTTCTCTCCATCACTGCCATCTCAAGAAAGTTACAGACCAAACCTAATAATTATGTGATGCAAAAATCAGACACACAGAACTGCCGAAGCAGCTCCATGAAGCTCATCTGGAAGTGTTCAGAGGGGCAATAACTGCTACATGCATTTTTGAGGAGAGGTAAGCAGCACTGAACAGAAATCATACCAGCAGCCTCAAAAGTTCAGCAATTCCACTGGCAGAAATCCTGTTCTGGGATGGACTGTCTCCTGAGACAGGGCTAGAGCTGCTACTGGTGCCAAGGTGGGACCTCTGCCTCTGAGTCACACTGAAAACGTCTTTGTTGGCCCAAGGCTTGTTGGCCTGGAGTTGATTTTGCAAACATCCAGGCTTCCTATATACTATTATACATACATTTTAAAAATAAAATTTCATTATTTTAATGTCAATATGTTGAAAAGCTGTCTACTTAACGTACATATTAAAGGGATATGGCTGTACAGTGGCAGCACAGGTTCCAGCTTTTTACTTGTGGCTGCTCCATTCAGGGCTACATTTGTCTTATTTCTTAGTTGACTATTTCAGATTGTCATGGAAATACAATCCAAGAAGGAAAACGTGATACCCTCAAATCCAGTGAATGCAAGGCAGAGTAAAAGAAGGTGTTATCTACTGGAGACAGCATGTGGCACATTCTAACTGGCTGCTAGACTTGACGCTTGATACAGGAGCTTTCAGCTGACTTCTAAAGAACAGAAGTTTTTCCCAAGAAGTTGCAGGACTGGGGAGTTGCTTTGTTTTCTTTTTTACATTTGTTTTTATTACAATGGTGCTTACAGTACCAATAAGGGCATGTCCTTTCTGCTACTTACCTCTCCATAAATAGATTTCATCTCTCAGATTCCAAAAAAGATGTCCAATAAAGGGACCTCCTTGTTGAGAACCTCCATTTTAAAAGGAGCTGGGCTAAGCTGCAATGTTTTGGACTGTGGGATGGTTCCTGGTAGCAGGAATATGAGCTTTCTGCCTATGAGGATCATATAAGGGAAAATTTGTCCCAGAATCCATTTTCTCTTAACAGTTTCTCTGTTCCAAATGTCCCTTAACCTGCCATCTTTACTCCAGTGGCCCTCATGTTTTTCTCTGACTTGATACAAACTTTTTAAGGATTTACACTGATGTCTGAAAATATGAAAATATGTAAGTCCAAGTTAAGTACTATTTAAAATTTCTACCTGACCTAGCAGAGAATCTATTCACAATAAGGAGGAAAAAAACACAACCAAGCAACCAAAACAAACCCCAAAAATCAGTCATTTTTGACAACGGGTGAATCTCATTCTGCACTCCTGCCTTTCCAGTGGGATTCCTCTACAGCTGGGGGACTCCAGGAGAACACTTAGTCCAATACTAGGAGATAACTTCCTCAGACACAGGGCATGGAGTCTTCCGCAACAGACTCATAGTTTAATTTTTGCCCAAGCTGGAAGGCCAAACATTTTCTTCCAAAGTTGGGAGCAGAGGCAGGAAGAGGCATTTTATGTCAATAAAGGAATCCGTTCTCTCTCTGCAGACATGTCTCCATGGTAAAATAACCCAGACTGCATCTCCTACAAAGGCCAGCGCAGCATTTCTTCATGGCTGCCTCCAAAGAGCCCCAGTGTCCTTCTCCAGGGAAGTTCTTAAACCCAGCTGCATATTCTGGCACTGCTGCACGTGCAGATGAATACAGCAAACACACAGTCGCAGCAAAGCTCACTGGAGTGAGCAGTGGGCTGGCTCCTAAGCAGCAACAGCCAGTAGCAAACGTGGTCACGCAGACGGCTTGAATTCATGAGCAGCCTGAAGATTTACACTCCCCAGCATAGCCAACTCAAGTGTATAAATCACCATAACAGCTTTGCATTCCCCTGGCACAAGGTCCCTGGCTGACCGTGCCAGCTGTTGTGCAGTGCTGTTCAGGGCTGGGATGACAACATTTGGCTGAGTGCCCAAGCCTTAGTCATGCTTTTACTGTGGAGGCATCGACAGCAGGAGCTCTAACCTAGATCTCTAAATTAGGGGAACTGGAAAGGACTGTAAATTGCAATTTACTAGGAACAGACTAGAAAATCAAAAGAAAGTGAAAACAAAATGAAACCCAGGTAACATGATTATGTCACGCTCCTAAACCTGTTTGGGGAAATTGCTCTTTGTTTTCTAGTGATAATAGATAAGGTGTTGAGCAGCACTGACTGATAGTCTTTCCAGTCATGTAAGAGCAGCCACAAGTCTTAACAAAATCCCACAAGCTTTACTGAAGGGATTCTGTTCTTCTACCCTCCCAAAATTTTCCCACTAAACTTCTCTCCATATTTGTCAAATGTCTTTACAAGCACTTGGCTTAAATACTCCATTTACTCAAATGGCAGGGAAACAAATTTACAAAACAGGCATTTAGATCTAGCCTTGCCATTCAGGCTGGAGCCTGAATTTTCTTAAGCCAGTATCTTTTGGGTATTTCCAAAATAAAGACAAATACTTGTTTAATTTCATTCAGGAAAAACAGAAGCAGAAAACAGTTGCTAGTTTTAGTCTCGGTTACATTCAGGTCATCTTGCACAGATCTAATACCATACAGGTACTTTAGAGCCAGTACAATTTACACTCAGGATTCCCTTAACTCCACTTTACCTGCCAGAATAACATAAAGAGCCCAGTGAGGTGGAGGCCACAGCTCATTCCTAAGGCATCTCCTGCAGGGGAAGTTAGTGTTTATGCACCCCTATCCATAATGGCAGGGCAGTAAAACCAGAGCCTGGGAGGAGGTGTTCTGCCTTAGAGTGGGGACATCAGCACTGACCTCATGACAGTATTGATGAAACAATTTAAGCTTTAATTAACAGTTGTGAGTATTCGCTGCTGCCACTGACAGGGAAACATTCTGTGGCTCTTCAGAGCTGATGGTGGTGGGTGGGAGTTACACGGAGTGCACGTTCCAAGCTAATTGACTTACTTAAACACTTCCTTAACACCCACCACTATATGTAATGCCAGTTACAACATATCACATTCATGTTTTACAGATCTTGTAGCATAGTGTGTTTCTGCTGGCTCTGTCACAGTTTTGAAGGCTGCCAGCAAATGTATTGGAGTGCAGTCAAAGTGCCCTTCAATATTTATGTTATCCATAAACCCCAAATATAGTCAATACTTTGAAAATGTAGGCGTATTGCTGATTTTCGTGAGGGTGTTAGTGGATTAAGCTCTCACTCCTGCATGGTGTCCCCACAGCTTTCAGAGTAGGACTTGAGTGGGAGGGCAGGAGGAGGGAGTCCCAGCTGAGTTACTCTGCTTTTCTGAAGTAAAACTGCCACCCCATGCATTCCCAAGAACACTTCTTGGCAGCAAAGTATGTGCTGTCTCTTCTTGAGTAGTTACAATGCTCTGTAACATCTTACCTACTACACAAGCTGCAATGACTCCAAATCATCCTCTTTGAAATGTTTTCCCCATGTATTTTCATGTCTTCCAAGTACTTAAGTTCTGCATCTGTACATGTCAGGTAACAGGCAAAGTTAAGGTGATTTGTGCAGCCAACCTATGCATTTTCTGCTATGCAAGTTCCAAGGATAGAGAATAATATAACATGAAATGGCCTCATTTTCAACGACATATGTAAGAGCTTAAGCAACTCAGATTAGTCTATACCTCATTTTGGAATTTATATTCTTTTTTTTCAGGGGAAAATGACCCCACTTGGGTTTGGTTGAGATGCACTGGGGTTTGGGATGCAAAACTGAATTCACATTTTAGCTTTAGTTTCACATTATTTCAAAAATTCAAGTTATACAGTTCAAGTCAGAAGTTCTTAAACTGCTTTTATTTTGTTTGATTTTTTTCTCCCCTAAGTTTAGTACTTCACATTATTTAACCCTAGTGTCCTGTGGATAAGACTTTCTTAGCCACTGAACAGCCATATTCATTTATCTTGCTTGACTTTGTGCAGATAACAGTTCCTCAGGGAAAAGAACAGATGATAAACATGGGAATGGCATAATGGTGCCAAAGAGAGATCAGCTTGGAGGTAGTCATCCAGTACCAGAAACAGGTAAGACCAATCACGTGAATTCATTTTGAATTACACTAGTTTTTCAGCCAGCTCCTACAATATACATACAATGGTCAAGAATTGAATAATATACTCCATATTCTAGTTTTGTAGCATGAGTTGCTCCAAATATTAGCATCTAAGTGATAGACTAGCTGCATTTTTAAAGAAGAATTGCAGGTTTTCTCTACAGCATCTCACTGTATTAAACAAAATGTAATTTCTCTTAACCTCATTGTAGGTGCTGTGTTACCCTTAGCCTTAGGCTTGGCCATCACTGCTTTGCTGCTTCTTATGGTTGCTTGCAGACTGCGCTTAGTGAAACAGAAGCTTAAAAAAGCTCGACCCATTACATCTGAAGAGTCCGATTACCTCATCAATGGGATGTATCTCTAATAATTGCATTTTGGTCAGTAGTTTTCTCCCTTTTCTCCTACGTCCATTAACCTCTGCCTCTGTGACAGGACCAAAATCCTTAGTTTACAAGATGAGGGACATATTCTTCCCCTTCAGTGATAACATAAAAAGTGAGTAGATGCCCATGCTCAGAAAATAAGAAGTATTCAGACTCCAGAGAGTAGATCCAGCTGTGCAGAAGACACTGCAATGTGGGGAGACCCCATGCTGGATGCAGGGTGCTCTTGCCCTCCCCACAGCAGCTGGGGTCTCAGCCAAGGCCAAGTGTGCCCCAGGGCCAGGGCACTGGAGCAGCCAAGGCCCAGCAGCCCTGGCACAGGGGTGAAGCCTGTGCCAGCATGCTCTTCTCAGTGCTGCCACTGCTGCGCTCTGCCCTGGGTTCCCGGGTGCTCCAACCAAGGCGCTACTTCACTGTCCAGCAGAGACCCATTTGTGTACTTTCCCCCTGATGCACTGGAAGTGTTTCCATTAAAGAATTTGCCTTGCTTTGTTAATTAAAAGCAATCACTAGGCACCAACTTTTGTAAAGAAAATTGGGATTTAAGGAACAAAGCATCTTTTTTTCCATTCATAGTTTAAACTTCTGTGCTGCTAGCAGAGAGCCATGCTTACTTAATCTGAAATGAAAAATACAAGTCCTCAGCAGATGAGCTTGGAATTCCCAGTGCTCAACAGCAGTCATGTACTGTTGCCCAAAGAAGTTGTGGATACCCTGTCCCTGGCAGTATTCAAGGCCAGGCTGAATGGGGCCCTGAGCAACCTGATCTAGTGAAAGGCATCTCTGACCATGGCAGGAGGGCTGGAGCTGGATGACCTTTAAGGTCCTTTCCAACCCAAACCACTCTGATTCTGTGTATGATCCCGGAGCTGTGTCCCTCCTCAGAGCTCAGGGCTTGTTCAGCCTCTTCCACCCCTGGCCTGGCGCGCTCCCACCGCATGAGAAAGCAGCACACAGCAGTTTTTATCCAAGATGATGGAGTGTAGGATTCCTGCTGGTTATCCCATAGCTCCCTGCAAAGCTTGAAAACTTTGGTGACCTGCCCTCAACCCAGAAAAATTCTCATAGAATTAGAGCAAGTAATTTATGTGTGAGTGAACTTCAGATGTGTTAACAGTAAAATGTGTACAGTATATGTTATATATACATATATATATATACACAAGAATCGTGCTGTCTGTCTTGTTTGACTGTCCAAGGATGTCACATTCCTCATGAATCCCAATAAAACCAGAGTCAAATGAGGCATGCACCTTTTTGTACGTCGTCTTTTGTACTTCAGTAGCTTCAAGTCAGCACGAATATTGCCATGGTATAAAATTAGTTCTTCAAGTTGTTCATTCTTGATCACTTTATGTAAAATAGCTCTAATAAACCTATTTTATTCTTATATTTCTTGCATTGTCTGTCTTTTCAGCTACCAGCTAAATTTTGTGCTACTAGACCATATCATGACAGCAGACAGAAGTACATTTCTCCTTTCTGTGAAACAGCCTTATAGGAAGCTGGAACATGTGTAGTGGGGGGAGTTGTTGAGACACTTGCTTCAGGAAGACTGAGAATTACAGTCTTCCTGTCATACCTGCAATGACCTGTCTCTTAAACAGTGCTTGAGCTGAGCAGGACAGCAGTCTCAGAGCTGACTGTGCCAACCACTCAGGGAATCTGGTTTCCAGTGCTCCTTGCTCAGACCCCTCATGCCACATTAGGCAAAGTCTGGTTGGTTGTACTTCAGTGTTACAGTGGGTCCACGACACCATCTGCTGACGCTGCCCATTTCCAGTTGGGGAGCACGGCCTTTCTTCCATTCCAGCCTACAGCAGATGTGGCAATTATCACAAGACCCAAAAGACCACATTTTAAACACAGCCTGCTAGGGAAAACGCACTGTCCATCTGGTTAAGGTATTATTTCCCATCATTGAAATTTGTTTAGAGGTTTAATTAAATATCTAATTCTTCACCATCTTACCACAGCAGCAAGAAAAGCAGTCTTTTCTCACTAGCTGCTATTACTGAAATCCATTACACCAGCACACAGCCAGCAGCAGAACAAAAGGTTTGGTTTAGTTCTTCCGGGCAGAACAACAGTGAGATCCCGCACAAAGCACAGGCCAGCTAGTAGAGCCATGGTGTGAGAAGCTGCTCAGCTTTCCGGTCACTTCACCCAACAGCAGGTTTTGCTGCTGTGCTGCTGCGAGTGGAATAAACCTTCATGGATTTCGTGTATGACAGGCAAGAATGAACACCTCCAAGCAGAGAGCAGCAGACAGCAAGCATGGTACAGGAGTTATAATGATGTGTTATAGTTCCCACAGTGTTCCCAGGGACTGTTCTTTCCAGGAGGGGAGATGGTGACAGTTGCTGTTGTGCAGACCACCAGCCTGAGGTGTGTTACTTCCAGGGTAATAGCAAACTCCACAGTTGGACTGAAATAAACAAAAAAGTTTGCATCTTACCAGAAAGCCTGGGCATCAGCAGCTGGATGGAGAGCAAGACAAAGTTAGCAAAATAACAGATTGGCTCAGCAGTTTCTGCAGTTAACACACACATTGGTCTCAATACCATGAGTTTTCATTTAATAGCTTTCATGCTATTTGATTTTAAGTAAGTGATACTGAACTACCGAGCCGGAGGACACCTGGACACTAGCAGAAAATACTGTGGCAAGACACCCTTGTTGACACGCTTGGGGTGCTTTTCCCCCTTCTCTCCAGGTAGTTCCCAGCCATTGCCTCCTTCTGACACCACTTCTGTGGCCCCTTCCCAGCTGCTCCCAAGGTTGGAGCTCTCCCTCTGATGACAAAGCAGCACTCAGAGCAGGTGGTGCTTGCAACCCATCTTCACAGCTGCGCTGCTAATACTGCTTTCATGGCTTCTCATGCAGACCCCAGGAGCAACGGAGTCATACAGTGTTTATATTGCAGCAGAAGTGCAAAGTTGTGTGGGAAAATTCCACTATTTGAGGTCAGATCTGTTTTTCCTGTCCCAAATACTGAAATACGTTTATCCACATATCTGGAAATATGATCAATCCACCTAGTCTTACCAGCATGCTTAGACAGGTAAGCAGAGAATACTGACTGCTCAAATCACATACCCCTGTGGATATTGCTTCTCTGTGTACTAGGAGAGGTCATTATAATTTGTTTTGTCAGTGTATTTTAATGTTGATCAAGATATATATTTCACTTAGACTGCTTTTTGTATTTTCAACTGTTTTGTTTTTCAGACCACCTAAAGGGTAAAAACTACTTCAGAGTAACAAACAATACTTAGGTTTGATCCCTATTTATTTTTTCTGTGATATGGGTTGCTTGCTGCCCACTTTTGCAGGGGTTCCTAGCCTGAACATCCTGTAATCATTCCATAGCACTGCGGGATTATAGCAGGGGCAGTTCCAAGAGCACATTTGCAAAACAAAAAGGCTGAAATAGGTCAGTGTGATGCCCCATTTGCTTTTCAAATCCTAGATAAACATAAGAGTTTCAATCCCAAACTGCACAGAGCGAGTCAGAGGCCCGAACCAATAGCAATGCAAACACGCCACCCCAAAACAAAGAGAGAGCCTTTCTAGTAAGCCCCAACAGAATCCACAGTCATGCACCACTGAGGTCTGCACTGGCTGCTTTCATGAGCATCAGGAATTGGGATTTTTTGGTTTCTAATGGCAATAGCTAGAGTAACAGCAGAGGGAAAAGGCAGGAAAGATTCAGAGTGTGCAGACAGACATTAAGAGGCAAGAAACACACAGTAATTACTGTGAAAGAGAAAAATCCATGAAACAATTGGCCTGAGCTCAGTAAAGAGGGAAACATGCTGTAAACGGGGAATATGTAAAGGGGTGGGGGCAGGCAAGGGAAGGCACGTAGAAGTAATCTTGCTGTATGTTTTTCAGTAGTTACTTAAGTCAGAAAGTGAGCTGCACTCTGCACTGGAGTCTTGAAACACAAAGAGAGGTCTGGAAGGACTGGATCAGCACAAGAGGCCACTTCAGAAACACCTGCTAGAATTTTAATTTTTGCAGTAGTAAGGCTCCTGGCTGACAGTTGTAAACCACTCATAAATCAACAAAAATGTATTATGAGCAGGCAGAAAAGGTTCGGTGAAGAACTGAGTCACAGTTTGCTTGGCCAAGAAATTTTAACATAGTTCTTCACAACTACCAGATCCTAATGCACTAAAGACATGCATTAAAAATACCTACACTCAAAAGAAATAACTGGACAACACAGACATAGAGGGAACAGGGAATTTGAATGGGTGTGGGACTAGAAAGGACTTGAAAGCAGGCAGCACAAAGGAAGTTTGGGCCTATAGGAAAAGCATCCCTGAAGACTAATTCTATGCACAAGAAGTAACTTTCCTGATGCTGCCTCTATATCCAGAGGAGATGAGCTTCTCTAGAGCTCTAATCAGAGCAGCAGCCTAGGCAGATGCTCTGAATCACCCATTCCCTAACCAGAAGCCTTTGAGAGTGTCCTTCTAATCCATAAGTCACCTGCAATAAAAGTTACTGATTTGTCTCAGATGCCCCTTCTCCATTATGAGCTGAAAAAGGATTTGGCTGAACAAGAAACCACCTGTTTATACTAAAGACACATAAGATGCAAACATAAGCCTAAACATGGTTAAAAAACCGACTTTGGCTTCCCAGTAGCATCAGGGAACGTTTTCAAGAGAATCTATCAGTACTTTGCTCAGAAGCATATGATGAAAACGGCTGAACTACAAAGAGACATTAGAAGGTCAAAGTGAGATCTCAGAGAAACTCTTGTTAACAGTCTTTATGAAAATAGTCTGTCGTTGCTAAAACAGTTTTGCTAAAAGGCATGGATTAAGTGTCTCAAATTTTCAAGTTTGGTGTGATGAGACACAAAGTGAGTTATATTAATTTTTCCTTCCTGAAGCTTTCAGGCCATTTTCAATGGGCAGCTGGATCTCCTCCATACATATTTCAGCATTAACTATTGCCATTCAATTCATAATTTAAAGACATACAGTGTTAGTTCCTGAGCACATTCTGCTGAGCATCTCATTAACATCCTGCCAGGAGCATGAGAACAATAAGAGCCTTTCATAGGAAAGCTCAGAGCACATCAGCTGCATGATGAATTTGTGCTGTGTATAAAACTACTACCTGAAAAAAAAAAGCAGCCCTGTATGTCACAGATGAACTGTGGGAGGCAAACAGGTCAAGTTTTAGTCTATGCTGATTTCCTCAGACCTGGCTGAGGCATGGAAACCCAAACCTTGCCACCAGGGGAGCTCTGTGCACACAAGCACATTTTGTTTACAGTAAAGGCGAAGAGGGGTTACGATACCTAAAGAGCGTCTCTGCACTTCCCACAACTGGTCTGCAACCTTTCACAATTATAAGCAGATGGACAAAAACTCAAATGGTGCTAACAAAGGCAAAGTGTGCAAACCCACAAAATCTTCTTAAAGCCCGTGCTTGAATCCATCTATTGTATGTCACAGCATTTAAACTCTAATTTACATCCTGAAATGCAGAAGACCAATTTCAGACCTCATCATCTCCTGCATCCCCCTGTGCAAGATGCCTTTCAGGCAACACTTCCCCTCTGTTGTTTTTTTGGTTGATTGGTTGGTTCTGCACAATGTGCCAGTGTGACCTCACCACCCACCTTTTTTTCTGAGCCAGGACCACCCCTCATTCACTTCAGCAAAATACCTCTCTTCTTGGGACATTGCTTGGGACAAGGATCAAGGGTTCCATAAAGGTGATTAGAATTAATGATCGTTGAACTGCATCATAATAGGATCAAATTCAGCTAAATAGAACCAGAGATACAAATCATGAGCTTGGTTTGCATTACTCCTCCTCTGCATCATGTCAAAACAAGAAGGAATTGAGATCACATCCTCTTTCTGTGAACTCCATTTAAATCAAAAGCAGCACATCCTAGGGCACACTGAGAAAAAGGAAGAAAACATTGCTACTGTTAGGATGTGTTAACACCCTTCTTCCTGGCAGGAAGGAGAGTACTAGTTCAGAATCTTCCTCTGGGCATTTTAATTTACCTCTTTGTGCTGACAGTCAATTCCACAGTCCCTCCATACTCAAAAACCCTGGAGCTTGTCACTCTGTCACAAAAACACTGTACTCGTGGAGAGAACTGCTGCCAGCTGGAAGCTCCGGGAGCCTACCATGTAGAGGCCCCCTGGCTCCAGGCATTATTGCCTGTTTCAAACTCGCTGACTACAAAACATTTCAGGAACCATCCAGGTGGCCTCCATCAGCAGTGCTGGTGCACACGTGCTGTGTGCTCGTTTCCCTCCAGAAAAAAATCACGCAATGGGCTCTATGCCCTCAAGCTAGCTGACCACTCTGAAAGGAAATGGTAAATAAGCAGATCATTCCTGCTGTGTAAACAAAAAGCATCCATATGGCACATTAAACTTCTCTGTAGAACACCCACAAATGTTGGTGCGTTTTCAAGACACAGGTATTGGCTCTTGGTTCCTCTGCTCAAAATCTGGTGGTCTTCTACTGTCTGGATCCTGGAAACAACCAGACAAGTGACTCAGTGGTTCAGCCAATTCGTTCTCCCAAGCTGTTCTGGCTCAGAGGTGATAGTAACAGCCCTGCGATCACTCTTTCTGAGGTAGCTGGATTCAGCTATGGAGAGCGGGCAGAACTGTGCACAGGAAGAGCCTGTTACCCAAAACACACAGATGTGAACTAAATAAATTCCAAACAGTCATGGAAAACTCCACTTACATTCCATATATTATTAACAGGCTTTGTAACTGCTGCAATACCTTAATTGACTGAAAATGGACACACAGTTCTGGTCAATTAGTAAACCAGTATTTTTACACCTACTTGCTTTCTTTTTGGACATGTGAGGTCCTGCTGAAGGTTAAAAAAAACAACCACAAAACCAGGCAGACACCTAGAGACAGCTTCCTCTCAATTTGTTTTATTTGGCAAAGTAGCAATTCAGACAGTTCACACAGCACTTATTCAAGCTCTTCAAATCTTCTGCATTTCAACTTGTCCTCGTCTCCAAGTTTTTACTTCAGAACCATTGCTCCATCATGGAGGAGTTTCCATTTTCCAATTCCTAAATGCTACTCCTGGATACTCCTTTCTGTCCGAGTACCTTGATACATCCCTTGATATAAATCCTCAGTGGAATGGGTGCACTACTCCCAACAGCCTTGGTCCCTGAAGCCTTACACCTCTTGAAGTGGTTCTCCTCAAAAAAGCTGTCACTGGGTCTCAGTTTTAACACCACTTCCAAGTCAGGCTAGCTTATTACACTGTGTCCAGAGACAGGAGTTTGGATACATTTGAGCTCATATCTTTCATTTAACTGATTAAATTAGTGAGAAGATGTAAATAAAGCTGAACTCAAACTGAAAGATACAGTGACCAGAAGGTTGAACGTTAGCATGCATCAGTTAAGATATTTCACTTCAACACCAAGAACTAGATTCACAGTTGATTGTGGGTTAGTACAAATTTGTCAGACGCAAGTGGGTTTTTCTGGATTGTATTTTCTAGAATACACGCTATGTTAATTTCTTTTTAAGATTAATCTTGTGTATGTGCTCCCAGGCTGCAGTCAGATCAGGAGGTGGTACTCTAACTTCCAAACATCTAAATAAATTATGTCATATATATCTTTTACAGAGGAATAGGATGGGGCTGACCCTCAAAAGGAAGGTTATTTAAAATGTTCCTTTTTCATATTCAGAGTCCTTTGAATTTTAACCTTTGTGTTTCCAGGGATTAATCCCAGCACAAAATTATTGCTCTTCCACCATGAAAAGGTGTTCTTTTTCATTAATCACTACGGGTTGCTTTTATGCAAGTTATTTTATTCTTTAACATTTCCACTATAAAAAAATAAAACAAAAAAAATGATAACATGCTATTTACTTTAATTTTTGGTTGCCGAAATCTGAGCAAGATGACTGAAGACACGCTTTCCCTCTTTCCCAAATCAGCCCACCTTACTGTACTGCTTCACAATTTGCTGTTGGCATTTTACAAAACAGATTTTACAAAACAGAAAACTTAGGACAGAAAAAAAAAGGTTTATAGCCTTCCAACAATTCTATATGAAAACTGAACAAGTGCATCTACCTGTATTAAGGAGTCCATGATTATTTCCGCATGTACGATGTTTTCCTTGTATAACAATTTAGAATTCACTTTCTAAAAAGCCAGAATTTTTCCTGGGTGCCCACAGTTAGAAAAATGAGAATGTTAATACAGCAAATGGCTTTGCCAAAAGCACCTTTTAGAACCAAACGGCATTTTGGTTTTTAATAAAGAACAAAAAGCAATCCATATCTCAGTAGTCTACTACATACTGATCCTAATCTTCCACACAAGCACACAACCACCCTTTTGCTTTTAACGTCAGTTGGCAAAGCAGCATTGCATAAACTATTCAGTGATTAGGACACAGCTTATATCATATTTATGGAGTTAAATATATGCTTATCATACCAGTAGTGAGTTGTAAACCAAAACAGAATTTCAACATTCCATTAATTAATTTTAGAAGGGAAAACCATGTCTGTTATGTCCAACTTGAACAGCAGTGTTTGATAAGAGTGGCCACCCACCTCTGATGTCTTGAAGTTTAATATATACAAATGCCTGGTTTTAAGGTAAAAAAGCAGCTGATTGTATCTACTACATGCTAGTCTATGACACCATGTCAAAAGCTTAAAAAGGAAGTTCATCTCCTTTTAGTAGCATCTAGCAGACATCAGAACACAGAAAACCTGGTATTACCTACGTAGTGTTGTAAGGTGCACAGAAGCAGTTTTACCAAGGGACACAGGAGCCGAGAGAAGTGAGTGTTCAAGTACCCCCATCAAAATTAGAGTTCACAAGCTATAGGTCTTTCTCTGCAGTTTTGCAGAAATCCACTTTGAACAGATGAAAGTGAAATAAAGGCATGTTAAATAAAACAGTGCCCACATAAAACTTTCCACCATTTCTTTATCAGGTTTGCCTTGAGCATCTAAAAAAATGAAACAAACACCACGCTTTTCCATGCTGATAACAACAGTATAACGAAGTCCAAAACAAGCTGCAATGCTGTTGGTTTTCAAAAAGCTTTTAGAACTGGAGATGAGCAGTCCACTGTAACACTATGTTTGGGTCAAGATGATGTAGCTTTTACAATTCATCCCTGTAGAAAGAAAACACATGCAGTTATGTTTCTCCTCCCCTTGGAAATCATACTTAAAAAGTTTTGATATTGAATCAGATTACATTTAAGCGCTCATGCACATCAGCAGAACTTCAGAAATCTCTTCAAGCATTTAAGGAAAAAAAAAAAAAACAACAAACACCAAAGGAAAGACAACAGCAATCCCATATCATCTATACCATCTGATTCTATTATGTGATTTATTGTGAAATATGGGTCCCTCTATTTTACATGTAATGGATCACTCGCTTTAATTAACATCCCCCACACTGCACAGCTAGTTACTCAGCTACCTGTCATCCAAATTCTGCTGGCTACACACTGGCAAGAAACTAAGCCAACTTACTAGACAGAGTATTGGCAAAAACCATCCTCTGTAGCTGCCAAAAAGGCAAGTTTATCTTCAGCTGTCAGTCTCTCAAGAAAGCTAAGAACACATTCTTGCTTCCACATAATGCAGTTTGTAGCACTTGAGTTTATTTATTTCACAGAGGAGTTTGATTACCTCCTAAAGGAGCTATGAGAAATCAGGAATAGGTTATGGAAAGGGTGGGGTGTATGGGTGGGGTGTGTGTGTGTGTGTGTATGTGTGTGTGTGTTAAAAGGAGATTCAGTTAGGAGAAAGGAGGCATCAAGAAGTCTCTCTAAATCACTGCAAGGAATCTAGAAAATGCAGGCATTTGTTCCTGCAGGACATTTCAAACACACTAAAACAGGAAATGCAGAGAACCCATATTCTAATTGCAAAGTTATCATATAGTAGTGATTTAAGTATTCCTAAAGTATTAATTTTAATGCAAAATGTCCACCAAATTTCAAAGCTGTGCACTGTGCTGCTAAGAACGTAGCAAAACTCAAACAGAAGTGTTTGCCTTTTTTTTTTTCCACATGGCACAAGCAATCTATACATTCACAATGGGTTTGCTGCAGTTTTTCTTTCAGTAGATGCATCACCCTCATTAGCCAAAGCAAACGGTGTCTGAGTTAAAAAAATCTTCACTAATGTGACTGCTGGCTCAATACACAAGAGTATTTCCAGCTATCATGCAAACTAACACACAAAAATATAGTTCTACATGCACACAAACAAAACCTTTAAACTACAAAGGCATTATTAGCCTTTAGGAATCATATAGCATGGAATGACAGCATGCAAAACATTTTAAAAGCAATTGAAAAGCCTGTAGAAACTAGTGCTTAAATGACTAGTTTTCTATCTAATGCAGTTGGGATGCAAACCTTGTGATTTGTGAGGGATAAATATTTGCATTCTTTGCACTTTGTACGGCCTCCTAATAGTAAGGTACTAATCATACAGCTTCAGAGTGTTGCAGTAATTACAGACAGCAGAAAAATGCAGAAGGGGGAAGAACACATCTTGGCAGGGGTAAAGAAAAATCTGCTTATAGCCAAAGGTTTGGAAGCTCTCCACATTTCCCTATCTCACAGAATGGGTATTTGCTTACTTTAAACAGATAAAAATAAACAAACATCTGATATCCAGTTTAAAATGCAGTGCCAGTGAATTCAGGACAAGTATTTCATTCATCCTCAATGCTTCTAGGAGCTGCATCATCAGTTAATATTCACAACTTCAAAAAGCGTATGTTAGTAATGACTACTGCTATTGCTGGTGAAGTCTCATACGCCTAATTAAGGGTGTGATTTTCATCCTGATTCCTATCATATACTCTCACAGCTTTATGAAAGCCTGGCCTTTTACTGTGACAAGCAATTCTTAAACCTTCAAATCCAAGCTAGATCTTCAAGAAACTGTAAGAATAAGAAAAATTCTGTATTTACTCTGAAACTATTAAACATGGTAATTTTACCCAGTCACAGAGGTTGGCAAGGTTTTTGCATAATGCTGCTAACTCCCTTAATGTATGCGAAGTGCAGATTTTACATTCTCATTTTACAAAATGGTATTTCCACTTAAAATACATAATTATTATATAAATATATAATTTAAAATAAACTATACATACATGCCAATGTTTTAATTGTTGGTGTTTTGCATTGCTTTACCATATTCCTGGCCACTACATCCTAGACGTGAATTTCAAAATAAAGGTTTTCATACTCTGTTTATTAGAACATTTACTGTATTAAAAATTGCTTCCCTCAAGAGATTTTTCATTTGCTCTTCTCTACTCATTTATCTAACAGCATGCCGCCCGAAACAATCCACAATATACATGTTAAAATTATACAGCATTTATTTTCTGTTGCTAGGAGAAGCTGAGCTTATATGTGCATTATCAGATTTTATATATATTAAAAAGTTCAAAAATGTCTATATGATACCTGATATGCAACAGTTGTCAGCTTTCCACCTACAGTGAACAGTCTGAAGACATAAATACAAAATGCAAAACAGCATCAGCTAACCTGAACTTCAGCTGTTTGGATCAGAAGCTGCCAAGCTGTGAAATCCATCGGGTTTCCACTAGCGGTAAGAATCAGGATCCACGCCTATCCTCATAGTGGTAAAATATCTATCCTGCTTCAAAGCTAAAAGGAGACTCAAAAGACAACTGCTATTTCCCTATTACAAATATCTGGCTGTCTTCTGGAGCCACAGGAAAGATCTACTAACTAATTTGTATTTTTCCCCTTTCTAATGACCATGACTATTTGCTATGATTCTTACACAACTTGCATAATTGCCCTCCACCTTCATATAGGCACTCCTTCCAATCTGCTTACTAGTTCCTGCTTAGCAAGCAATACAGATATTTAGGGTTTAAGTCACCACAGCAGTTCTTCTCAGATGCCTGGAATTCTAGCAAGAGAACCACTCATCTCTCAACTGTGGCATCAAGCAACTTCATAAGCTCAAGTTAAAGCAAATTTCAGAAGTCATCAGCTCAAAATTGCTATTCTAGAAATAAATTTAAGAAAATTTTTTAAATTTTGGCTTACTAGTAGGGAAGACATATACATGTACATTCCACACCTCCTATGGTGAGTATCCAGCAACAAACTCAGAAACATTCTCAGAAAAATCTAATGGGTAGTATTTCAGGTAAACGCCAGAGTTTTTAGTGAAAACAAAACAAAACCACGAAGCTTATCAGCAATAATTTTGGGATACAAGTATGTCATGTAACTTTGCAATCCCTCACCACTGCTTTAGTGGAAGGCAAATTAAATATTTGAACATGCATTTGTAAATTTATTTGAAGTCTGTATCTCACTCTTTCAGATCCACTTCAATTTTCTTGTCATTAGGCAGCACAACTTTCCCTTTTCGATACATCATTCATCTATAAAAAACATGCTGCCACTACTGATACTGAAATTCAGAGTGCAGCCTAACAGGAATTAGAAATACAGTATATACCCACTGTTTCAGCAGCCAATTATTTCTCCCTTTATAACTTTAAAGGTAACGAGATGCAATATTTAGACTTCTAGCATTTTAATCTGGAAAGGTGCTATTATAAAATATTTATTATTTGCTATGATCAAGCATAAAGTTGAGAGAGTAGGTTTAAATGATAAGGAAAAGGAATTTTCTCTGCAATCTACTGTATCAGTTATACCAGATGCATTTTTGCATAACTATGTTTGGTTTGCATGGCCAAGTTTTGGTAGTGGGGAGGATACTGGAGTGGCTTCTGTGAGAAGCTGCCAGAAGTTTCCCCCGTGCCCACCAGAGGCAAACCAGTCAAATCCAGGATGGAGCTGCCATGGGCCAAGGCCAAGCCAATCAGGAATGATAGTAACGCCTCTGTGGTAACATTTTTAAGAAGGAAAAAAAAGTTGTTGGGCAGATGAAAATTGCAGCCAGAGAAGAGCAGAGTGAGAACATGTGACCAACTCTGCAGACACCAAGGTCAGTGCAGAAGGAGGGGGAAGGAGTGCTCCAGGTGCCAGAGCTGAGGTGCCCCTGCCGCCCACGGTGAAGACCATGGTGAAGCAGCTGTGCTCCTGCAGCACATGGGGATCCACAGGGGTGCACAGATCCACCTGCATGGGGCCCCCATGGAAAACTCATGCTGGAGCAGGCTCCTGACAGGACCTGCAGACCAGTGTAGAGAGGAGTCCATGCCGGAGCAAGTTTGCTGGCAGGACTTGTGACCCTGTAGGGACCCACAATGGAGCAGCCTGTTCCGGAAGGAGTGACCCCATGCAAAAGTGACCCACATTGGAGCTGTTCATGAAGAACTGTAACCAATGGGATGGACTCACACTGGAGAAGTTTGTGGAAAACTGTCTCTGGTGTGAGGGACCCAACACTGGAGTAGGGGAAGGACTCCTCTTTCTGAGAGCAGAAGAAACAATCTGTGATGAACTACCATAACCCCCATTTCCCTGTGCCACTGTGGTGGAGGTAGAGCCCGAGAACAGGGGAGGGGTGGGGGAAATATGCTTTTAAGATTTGTTTTACTTCTCATTATCCTGTTCTGATTTTTATTGGCAATAAATTCAATTAACATCCCCAAGTCAAGTCTGTTTTGTCTGTGATGGTAACTGGTGAGCAATCTCTCCCTGTCTTTAACTCAGGAACCTTCTGTTATATTTTCTCTCCCCTGTCCAGTTGTGGAGGGGAGTGATCAACCAGCTTTGGTGTTCAGCTAGGCTCAAACCACCACAATAATACACTTTAGGTTTAACCTAAAATATTTTGTGCAGAGCTTGTTTTTGCCAAAGTAAAATAAAAACTTTACCATAATCATTACTCTGCATAGCTTGAGGAAAATCCATGCAAACAATACCTGCTAATTTCAAAGAAAATTGGACAACTAGCTCATCAGGGGCATTTGAAACACTGAATAAGAGTTTCTAATCAGAAACACATTTTAACATATCCTAGCAAATACATTTACAAACTGGGTGGTTAATCATGTTTTATGTACAAGTAAGTGGGATACAGTAACATCCCCAGTGTAATCACTGTAGGTTTTGTTCAGAAAGGTTATACTGTCATAATAATTTTGTATTTTATCAGCACATGCGAATTTAGCGTGACATTTATAATTTCTACTAATGCAATATTTTAAGGTTAAAGTAGTTGTTAACGTTTTTAAGCAGCTGCCTGTCTGGAAATCAAACCCAAGATGAAACACAGACTCACTGCCAAGTGTTACTTAGATTGTTATTCTCTTATTTCTCTTTGTATCAGCAACAGTGGGGCCAGCAGGACAAGGTATACCCTGCAGGTATTTAAGAGACAAGTAGAAGTGGCCCTTAGGGACATGGTTTAGTGATGGACTTGGCAGTGCTGAGTTAACAGCTGACTCAATAACTTTAAAGGTCTTTTCCAACTTAAATGATTCTATGACTTTTAAAATTGTCTTTCCATATAAGTACTAAGCAAACTCTCACAGAGAAATAAAACCAGAGAGATACTAATTTACACAAGAACTGTCAATAAGGCAGCCAAAAAGCCATTCAACATAAGAGACCTTTTCTCCTCCCTAGTTACCAGTAAGAAAAAAAATAACCCAATTAATAAGTTTTATGTGAAAGGATAAATATCCTTACCGGTATAATCACATAACTGGAGATCTTTTTGTTTGGTACTAGAGGTAGGGTTCCTGTGGATATTCTACTTTCCAATGTCCCAGGGAGTTGCATTTGAGAGGATTCCCACTAATATTTGGAACTTAAAAATACTACTGCAACTGAACCTAAACCAGAAAATCTGACTAAATTTAAAGAAATGCAACAGTATTCACAAAGTAAGATTCTTTATTTAGCATGACAATATAAATGTACTGAAATCCAAAGAATCTTTTCCTTCCAGCTAGTCCAGATTTTCTTTTGCTAGAAGTTCTAGTTCTGTGTAGTGAAGAATGATACAAAACATCTGAAGGTAGGTTTGACTTCAAACACCACTTAGTGTTAGCACACAGTCAGCGCTGAGCTTTGCAAAGAGCACCTTGCAGCCCCATTAAGGAACTGTACTAACTTCTCCAACAAGCAAATGGCTAAGTAAAAATTTAAGCAGCTTCTTTCTTGCCAACTGGAAGGTCTGCTAGCCTAGGAAACTGCTGCTGGTGTACCAATTGTATTTTGTGAAGGGACATCAATTCTTAATGTGTTTTAAAGGTTACCTCAATTAGGAATGAAATTACACAATGTAAACTAAAAGAATGACAAACTAAACACACAGGATTGAGCTACTCTTAAAATGATGATTGTTTAATGAATTTTGTATTAACAACAACTAGAGTCTCTCATACACTACAGCTCTCTATTACAGAAAGACTTCTGGATGCTCTTTCAGAGGAGTCTCTAATGATCTCTGCTCACAGATATTCAACAATCAAAAAAAGGTTAACCGAAATCTAGGAAGAGCAGAAAAACACCTCTTTCATCTTTGATGCCAGCACAGACAACAAATGTTGATCTATAATTAGGAGTTTGCTTAGAAGCAGCTGGCTGACCACATACTTTGGATTCACCAATAAGGAAAAACAACAAAAAAGAAAGATGTGATCTCCTGTAAGGTCAGAAGTGCACTGGCATTTATGCTAGAAAATGGAATTGGAATTTTCTTCAGATCACAAAAAGGACAATTAAAGAAAAAGCAAACATTGCAAGAAGTGGACTTCTGAGATTTTCTTTAACAGAGATTTCCAAGTCTGAACCACATTTAAATGTATATAGCAAGAAACAGCCTCTCTGCCACTGTAAATCAAGGTAACCCTTCAGGCTAAGCACTTTTATTTTCTGATAACACCAGCATAAATTCTTAAAATAAAAATAAATAAATAAAATCAAGAATTTCAGAAAAGAACAGAAAATTGTAAGCAAATCTGGGTAAAACTTAACTAGCAGACAAAATGGAATACCAAACTGACGTTAGAATTGTAGTCCTTAACACGGTACACCACTTTCACTAGTGGCAAATTACAACCACTGTCATGTGTGTTTGTTGAACACACTTTGCTGCTACCAAAAAAACCCAATTGATACTATAATCAGATTGAGTGGAAATGCAGAAAAATCTATAAAAGCTCTCTGAAAATAGGAAAGCTTAAGAAGAATACTTCTCTTTTCTGGAGTAAGCAGAGCATGGACTCCAAACTTAAACAGAATCCACAACATTTGCCAGAGGAGGAAACTGACCACAAAGCAAAATTTCTAAAGCCTTACAAGAGGCAGGAAACCCTTGAGTACCACACTGAGAGAATCCTGGCAATATTCAAGGCCAAAGTATTAATCTGCATAACAAATAAAACCATCTGAATAGCAAGCACACTTGACAAGCTTTGAACTAAACAATAACTCATTGACATGTTCTCAGGAGTAATTTATATATGGTGGCCATATAACACTCCAAGAAACACAGAAATTTGGTTTCCATAAGCAGCAGTATGCAAACTGCTTTATTTATACTTTTTAGGACTATTTTGATAGGTTAGATGTTAAGTATTCAAATACCCAAATAACAAGTTATACTCCAAAATATCAAGGGAAAAGAGCCAAAAATCTAAATTTGGGAATTATAAAGCTCAAAAGTTGTTTTCAGAGCTCAGTGCACATCTATGCCCTTCATTAATGACGATAATACATTCACAAGCATTTTCTGCCAGGAAGCAAAACAGCACTGCTGCTTTGTTCATTCGGATACCAGTGCCTACCATGGCTTCAGCTGACAGCTGTGCTACGTCTGGGCTACTGGCTCTTCGATTCAGCAAACTGGAAGGCTTACTACCTCTAGAAAGGCCTTCAGAGTTTGCTGTGTTGCCAAACACAAATACATCCCCATCAGGGACATATGACATACTTCTAACAACATATCTGAAAAAATTTTCTGGATGCTACTCGACTACCTTTATATTTTAGGGAAGAAGGGATTACCTTCTCCCCTTTTTGCTACTTGGGGGCTGAAGGAAAAGTGTTTGTGAAATTATCTATATTCTCCACAAAGGATTTTACAAAGACTTTTCTTCATCTGTAGCATTTCACAAAAATAAAAAATGAACACTCAATTACCACTAACATACAGGACAAAACAATATTTATTAAGAAAAATTTTACACTTCACCCTAATTATTGGGCAACATAGTTATAAAAAGTTCATTAGAACGGAAGTTTAACCTTAGAAAATACTGTATTTAAAACAACAAATAAAAATCTTCAACACACCAAAGACTAAAGAGAACACGTCCAAAAGACACAAAGTGCAACCCATGCAATATTTTTCTCCTGCTTTTAAATTAACTCAAACTTAGCATAACCTCCTTTTGGTGATGTAATGCAGACTGAGTCACTTTTCATGGTATGGAGGAGCAGAAAGCAACGACAGCAGCAAAGGCAGGCCTTGCAGTCTATCTGCTTAAAATTCACACCCTTTCACCTTGCATGTGTGTGGAAGAAGTAAGTGGAACAGAAAATCACTTCCACCTGGACCACTGCTTCTCTTTATCTGTTAAAGGCACATATATCACTCCCATCAGAGGCTTCATTTTGACACTGCCATCTTCTAGTTTGTCATACTGTTCGAGCATCTGGTTTCCCCCAGCAGGGCCAACTGGTAATATCAATCTTCCGCCAGGTTTTAACTGGTCTATAAGCTAGAACACAACACAGAAATTAGAATGTAACCAGCCACTTCAGAGAAGCTGGATCTAAAGTTTGTTACAGTAGATTAACAGCTTTGTCATTATGTATATATCTACTTTTATGCAGTAGATAACTCCTTTGATTAGGAAAAATAAAAAATGCACTGAAAATGAGAGTATCACAGCAACATGGTAAACAATTAGTATTACATTCACAGTAACTTAATATTAATTCTAAATGACAGTAAAATACTAATTTAATTAACTGGGTGGGTTGCAGTTTATTTTTTTTATATAAGGGGGAAAAACATGTAAATCACAAATTACTTTTACAGGACACTCAATCTCCTGTCTAAAATTTTGGGGGCAACTGACCTCCCCTTAAGCCCTCAGAGTAAGATTTCAGACTTTTTTTATTTCTCTTCCTGGAATAATTTTAAGCTGTCTACAACACACTCACTACATCCAACAGCTCCTCTTTCAGTCTGTGAATGAAATTATGTAACTAGTCTAAAAGACATGAATGTGAGTAAGATAAGTGACAAGTAAATAGAGTGTGTGAGAAATGCTTGGATTTTTTTTGTTTGTTTTCATAATTAAAGAAGGAGGCTAATCACAAGGAAAATTTCATACTTCTCAGATGCAAAAATCCTTAATCCCCATTGACAACAACAAAAAAGTTATAATTAAGAACTGTTTCATTCACTAATAAGCTTTCACTTACTTTTTTAATGGTCATCCATTAACACTTTGCTGAGAACACATCCCTAACACACCATACACAAAAAACCCCAAATGAAAATAACAAAAAAACTCCAACAGTAAAAAACAACACATACGCACACAAACACACATGCAAAAACACTAACCAACCAAAAAAGAAACAAAAAACCAACCAAAACAAAAAAAGAAACAAAAAACCAACCAAACAAAAAACCAACCAAACAAACAAAAAACCCCAAACAATAATTAAAAAAAAAAAAATCCACTATTGGTCCTTGTTTGGAAACATCCAATCCCTCTATAGTGCCTCAAATCTCCAGCTTCACTATTCATTTCAAAAAGCCTTAAATGGCATCTATTATATCAAAATCATGCTATATATTACCATTTGCCTGATGAAAGGAAGAGAAAAAAAAAATCTTATCTGCCAGAATGGACTTCATGTATGCACACACTAAAGCCCCTAGTTATTCTTCAGCGTAAGAACTGCCCTGTATCCACTCTGAAAGCTACAAACACATGGCACTGTTTGTATTTCCAGCTGAGCATGTTACTTTCTCAATAAGCTCAATGCCTTGCAACACAGGAAACAAATACTTAGATTTTGTAACTCAATGTTTGATAAAATTCAATTATCTTATTAAATAAAATGCTCCAGTTTGCTGTTGTAATGGAGGGTTGCACACACGTAATTTTAAAGTATGTTTATTTAGAGCAGAGTTATTAGAACATACAGCTTTATCATACCAAAAGGAAGCCCAATTGTAAGAGAGACAAACCCCACACCATACAGTAATACCACACTGCCCACTGATACTCCCAGCAGTGCAAGTTACCAAGTATTCTACATATAGATGCATGCAAAGCATTCTTTACAGCTAAGAGATTATGGAAACACACACATAAGACATAAAGGCTTACTGCTTGGGGCACAACTGGTGCTGCAGCTCCTACATGAATTGCATCATAGGGAGCTTCTTCTGCATATCCCATGCGTCCATCTCCCACTGCAAGAAAACACTTTTTTTAAACATTTTCAAAAGGAGTGGAGAAAACAGCTAATTTATCGTATCTATAGGTAGGTAAAAAGCTGTGCTCAGATTTCAACTAAAGTTTTGCTGCACAATAGTAACATAATGAAGTCAGTTTCAAAAAAATTTAACACATCCGTAAAATATATGCAACAAAACACCCTCATATGTGCACACATTACCACATGCATACATGCTTACAGAGAATATTAAATACTACTGAAGCACCTGAAACTAAAATGATTTATCATGAAAGTCCTTGGAGACGTGGTCCACCCAGAAAAGATCCTAAAGTATTTATGTGCCCTATCAATTCCAATACAAGTGAGTTTTCCCCCTTCATTTACTGTCTCAGAACATACATTTGCTTTGCCTTGTCTCCACACATGCCATTCCTAAATGTAACACAAATCATAAGTCTAAAGCACTAAATGTCAGAAGCACATATCAGAAGATTCCAAAGGTGAGCAAAAGAAAAAGGAAATGTTCCCATGTACTATATGCCTACAACTGTGCCAGGTTGGCATGAAAGCCCACACCTACATTCATACATTACTGCAGTACCACACTAATCTTCGCACACCACACCTTTGCCAGCAGATGGGCCTCATTACTCTTCCTGCAGACAATCACTGGACTAATACAGCCACATCAGACCCATGGCTAAAGTTTCAAGTGTCTACTTGGAAGATGCTAAGGAGTAATTAAGGTATTCAGACCGTTACCAAGGCTGGAGAACTCATGGAGAAGCACCTTAACACAGATGTTTCATACCGTCCCAGTTACGCAGAAGGAAAGAGTAACAGCTTGAGTTTCTTAAGCCACTGAAATGCGGCAAACTAAACCGGACCCTGAGTTAAGCTTTGAAAGAAGATGATGTGAATACGGTATCCAGTATTTAAAAGAAACCAATGGGAAATTCAAAGCAAGTTAGGCAGGTTCTCTCCGGAGTTATTTAGGAACCAAAGTAGTACATGAGGCTGAACCACCTGAATTCATACTCTGTGATTGCAAAAGTCCCAATAATCAGTCTAGAAGAAAAATCAAGAGATTAGTGAGCATAGTCCTCTGCTCAGCACAAGCACAGTTGTTTGGGGTTTCCAATCTTCAGGCTGAGCTTTGACTTCTGTGCAATCACTCATATCACAAGTTAAAAGGCTGAAAGAGTCAAAAGAAGTTCTAAGCCCCAGTCAGGGGCTGAAAATTTGTCCACTTTTTGCCCGCCAACAACTCACATGGCAGGAAAAAATACGTGGTTGCCACAGTAGGTTTCATTTTGACCTCAGTAATACGGAGAGCCATCTGGATAGTAATAACACCCTTCAGTATTCAAGAGTATACAGGAAGATCTGGACAGCTTCTTGCAACAATTAAAATTGGGGAGTTTCTCATCTTCCTTATGAGGTTCTAAAAGACAGCCCTGCCAGGACCTTCTACACCCAAAGCCTAAGGACTATAAGAACAGAGCACATTTCCTCAGTAGCTGAGAAGCCTCTTAAAGCTCAGTGACATATTTCCTCATATCATCAATTCTGACCAGCACAAGCTCCAACCAAGGGCCAGAAGCAGAAGCTGCCAAGCAAGAATTACCAATGCTTCAAAAGAACTCATCCCTATCAACCACCACTTCTACTAAGTAAGCTGGCAACAGGTATTACCAGTAATGAAAGTTCCAGCATTTCCAGGGCTTAATCCCTCTGACTGCCAAAGTGGGTTCTACTGGAACAACCACTTCAATGCAGTCAATTATTTATTTATACTTATATATCTTAGTAACACTGTCCACCTCCTCTAAAGAAGTAATGATGTGTTACAGTATCAAGCTGCGGTTCCACCAGACAAGGTAATGGAGAAAGACTTCTTTAACTTATATAGAGATACTGCCATGAATGATGTTAGTTACACAGGGAGGCAGACCCTCATTCCCTAAGATGCAGCAGCAGGCATTAGAAGCAGTGATCTCCAGTACTGCTGGAAAAAGAAGAGACTGCCAAATTGAAATAAGAGCTGTAAAAGAAATTCCTAAGTTGTCTTCGGAAGAACACACACATTCTGAGACATAAGTGCACCTTGTGCACTGTCCGGAGAAGTCTGAATGTGACTTCAGCACATATTGTCACTCCACTGACAGCAGAAAAATGGACCCAAAACATCTAAACACTTTGCTTTAGAATCAATAGTCCAAACCATAGCTAACATCTTTAAACTCCATTGACAGATACTGCCAATCTAATACTTTTTACACTTGACTCTCTGCATGCAGCTTTCTGTATCAGAAGTATGAAGGCTTTGTTAAAACACCCAAATTTAGATGACAGGACATTTATTCAAGGAAAGTTGTGAATTCAACCCCAATTTTCAATAGCAAATTTAACATGACAGACCTCCAGCATGAAAAGTATTTTCACCAAAAAACATTTCCCCGTTAAGCTTTTCTAGTAGAATGATTACATATTCTTTAATATTACCAGAAGTCATATTCTCAAAACTATGTGAAGGATACTATTTTTCAAAGGCCTAAAGATGACTTGGATTTTAAAATTTTTATTTGGCTCTTCTTTCTTTGGTTTAACTTATTAAATTAGAACTTTTAATCACATCCAATTCAGTCATTTTCAACCAGTTGCTAGAAAGAATATCAGTTTAATTAGTAAGTATATCAGTCTGATGCTCACCAATCAGTTTCACTCTTCCTGAAGACAGCAATGTGGGATCATCTTTTTTGACATTATTTATTGAGTCATCTACTAGTTCTTTGATATGATCAATTCCTACAACTTGTCCTTTGGGACCAACCTGGAATAAAAATACATAGTTGAACAATTTCTGCTAGTTTTGACTTATTTACAGAATGAGTATTTATACCTCCTGAACCCATTTCTCTAAGATAAAAGCAAAAACAGCAAAGTGGAAGCATATTTTCCCAATGTTATTAAAACTACTGCTTGGAATGACAAATCCTGACTGGTAGAAACACCTGGTAGTTAATGTTTGTTGGCATTTGTTTAATGTTTGTTATAAATACTTGTTACAGTGATCTTTTTGAGATGTAACTAAATTGAGTTATACTATTAGTGGAGATTTCTCTTAAGTTTTAGAAGTTAAATTTGATCATGTTTGTTTTTATTACCTGCTATAGAAAGCACACACGTCAAAGACTAGAACTAATCTCCTTCCATGTTGAACAAACTTACTTAAGGATTAAGTCATGCCTTTCATTCTAAGTTATCTCAAGAGTCCTATTCCTTCAGAAACAAATCCAGAACTTAACAGTCAGGGACTAATTACCTTCCATCAACACTTGCATTCATGAATTTATTTTCAGATTTACAGCTCTTCTCCACAGCAAGAATGGAACTTCTTAGAGTTCATAACTCAAAAAAGGTCACAAAAATTCTATGTATTCTGGGGGTGAGGGGGAAAGGTCTACTACCAAAAACTTCTCCATTGCAGGTACTTGCAGAATTTTGTCTTTGGTGCAGAAAAAATATTCAAAAAAGAACCCACATCTTCAAAAATCTGACCCATTTTAACAGGATTCAGCTCAAAGAACACAATGGCAGAATATGTCCCAGCACCCCACGCTGTCATATAACTGTCTTTGGACACATTTGAATGCACTGGTTTTGCTTCTGTATCTTATATTGTACCGTTAAGACATGGAAAATTAATAACTGGTTATTAATATCACGGGGAATTTTTTTTTGTTTTACTATGAACAAGTCCTATGTTAAAAACTTCAAAAGGAGCAGTGCTAGCTTTTCAAGTGGAACAGCTCTGGCCTAGCCTTTGAAATAGAGCAAGACACATAAGTTTTTACTATGACAACTACAGGTTGCTATCAGGAGGAATGCCTGGCAGTCAGTTGCACCATTAGCTGGCAAAAGATCCAGTGTATTCCAAAGGGTTACGTCACAGAAATCAAAATTTAGCAAAATGGTCAGAGCATGAAATAGCCTGATATAAAGTTAGAGAAACTCTTGCTGCATGTCACAGCCTGTTACACTATTTCTGAGTCCTCATCAAGTACCTCTATTACCCTGGAACTTCGAAGTACATGCAATTGAGACAACAGCAAAATGGCACAATTTTGGGGATCTTCATGGTCTGTTAAGAATAAAAATATACCCCGTTCTTTTTATAATTCCAGTACTTAGAGGATGAAAACTATAAATCATTTAATTTGCCAGCAATCTTTAAAAGCAAATAAACTTAAGTTTGTAAGCTATGTAGATAAGTTTATCGCATGTTTAACACAAAAACCCAAACAAAAATCCTAAAGATGCTACACTACTCCGTGTAAACATAAAGCTTTCCCAAAGGTACCACAAATGAAATTATCATCATAGGAGTAAACTTGTCATGACATCCATGTGCACTCAGGCACTTGTGCCACAAATGTGAGCTACTAAGTCCAGGTCACAAACTGACTGAGAAGCAACATCCAGATGGTTCAAAAATCACATCCCCAACTGGATTTTGACTGCAAAACTCTCTACCAATAATTCCCATAATATACTTCTTTCAAGCTTTTCTTACCGTTAGAAATGCTATCAAACAGAACAAAAGTATTACCCAGTGTTTCACATAGCACATGTTTGAAAGGGCATTCCACAGCAAACCACCAAGGAGGATTCATAAGAGAAACACAACATTCATATGCCAATAAAAAGATACTATGATTAACCTCAGCGAAACTGGAAAGAGATTTCCTTTTTGTGCTACTTCTGACTCCTCTGCAGCTGTTTTCAGAGAAAAAAACACACAATGACAACTTTGCCTATGTCAAATGGCTATTTGTTTACATATTCGTAACTTCAGTAAGAAATACACATAGCTTGGACAAAAGTTTTAATGCTTATAGGACTGGCGTTCCCATGCAAGCTACTAGCACTTGATTCCTAAATACAAAGTTAGATCAAAAATAATAGGCAGATTGTGGAATAAGTGACACTTAAGATTTCCTCTAAACTGCAGTTTGGTTAACTTATTTCAAGTATATTTTTTTTTCATTTTGCAGTTAGCACTTAGAAACCTAAATACCTTTGCTAGTGTATTGCCCAGTCCTAAACATTCTTAGCTGTTTCTTAATACAGGAAAGCAGAAGTGATTGCATTCTCAGCAGGTCGGTGCTTGAAAACAGTAAGTAGCAAGTAAACCTACATGAGAATTTATCATATGCATTAGCACATTTCAAATTAACTTCTCAGAAAGATAAACCAAAAAATCTAGTTAGCAGTTTAATGAAGATCTCTGCTAGTCATAAAGCACTTATAAAGCCCTGGAAGAGAGAAAAACTGATTATATTCCTCTACATGAATCATTTTAACTACACTATAGCTACAGCCATCGAAAAAAATTTTTTTCATCTTTTTTTTCCTGATGTGAGATAGGGCAGAACCACAGAGAATTCCTTATACAGGTTGAATAACACAGAGATTAAGTTACTTGGAGAAGATGTAAAATATAAATAATATCTAACTTATAAAATGTTAAATGGATACTTATAGTGATGCTCATGCAATATAACAAGAAAAGAAAGAATTAAATTCAAATACAATTTATATAAATACCATCTATTTTCCTGTGGAAACAGGATTCTTTTAGGTCTCACTAAACTCTCATCATAGCAGGAATACACGATATTTGACCAAACTAAGAACATTCATAGCTACACAAGATAACACAAAAATTGTTCAAGACAAACACATTTTCCTTGAAGGTATAAAGCAATGACTAAAAAGCAATCAATTTAAAAAAAAAAAACACAAACAAAAAACAAACTTCCCTGCTAGTCAGTTTCTTCACCATCACACAATTTATTAGACCATTTAACTTGAACATCAAGTATCAGCTACCATAAGAACTGGGTACCAATCCCACCAAGGAGAGCAAATTATTTTCTGTATAATACACTGCGGTCCACTGCACAAAGGATGCTTTGGTTTGTTTTGTAATTCAGAGTTACACTACAGTTCAAGCCGTTCTGACAGTCAAGTGATTAAACTAAATATCTCACCATTCGTGAAAAGCATGCTGTAAGGATTCCACTTCCAGATCCTACATCAAGTGCTTTGGCTCCTTCATGTAACTGATCCGACAGAAGTTCAAGAGCATAGGCATGCTAAGACAAGAAGACAAAGGCAGAAAATTTCTGAGTACTTTAAGTGTCTATTTTACTCAACATTTGTTCATTTCTTCAGAAATGTTGGGAAATGCACTGAACATTTGTATAAGAAATTTCAGAATCATTTTCTATTACAAAAATGGGGGGAGGAGTTAACTACATGATATTCATTGTTATTTCATTGACTTCAACAAATTACATCTGTGCTCTTTTTTCTATTGTTAGCATCCATATATATAGATTCATCTGACCATTCAAGCTTCTAGCTTCTATTTATATATTGGGAGAGACATCATAATCAATTTAATTCTCCTCATTGACTGAGCAGTCAATGGGGAGTCACTGACTGAGTCTGGTGACTCTTACTGTTCTGGCAATATGTAGCCGATAAAGAATTTAGCTTATTATTATATTTTGCTTTTGCTATATCATTATATACATCGGAATAAGCTGGGATAAAAGCTAGCTAGGAAGAATGTATTTTTTTCATGTGCAAAGAACTAAAGGCACTATTACAGCAGTAGCATGCTATAGAAATCAGTGCTATCTGCTTGTGAGTTCTTGTATTTCATAAATTACAGAGTAATTTACATTGGAAAGATCTCTGGAAATCCTGTGGTCCAGTGCTCTTTCAATAGAAGGGTAATTTATATTAGGCTGTTTAGAGCATTGTTCAGTCAGCTTCTTTATATAATCAAAGAATAAAATTTCCACAATCTGCAAAGCCTGTTCCAGTGCTTAACAACCCTCAATGGATATTTTTTCTCCTTCAAAACTAATCAGAATTTCCCATGTTGGTTTTATTTGTCCACTACCCCTCATCCTATCACTATACATCTCCAAGAAAAATCTCGATCAGTATTTTCTGTGCCCCCCCACTAGGCAGTTCACGTCACTTCAATCAACTGTTCGTTAAACTTGCTAGGATAAATATTTTATTTCAAAACATTTGGATGTTTATAAAATCACCTATACTAATTTCCTAGGTTCAAAGCTTACCATATGTGGAGCACTGATTGTTGCTTGGAAACCTGTAAAAAAAGAGAATGGAAGAACGTGTTGATCATTGTTCATACAGGAATTTTACAATCTTTATTACCTTGACTGTAAAATGCAATGCCTTCATTGTCACCCTCATTCAGGGCACGACATACACACCCCAACAGCTACACAGGTCCTCTACTTTAGAAGTGAGTTAAGGTACATCAGCTGAAAGCTGTCATGCCAACTCTACACAGGTGAAAAAAGGTTTTATCCTCAATCTTAATTACAATCTCCATTTTGTCACTATTCTGCCTTAATGTTGATCAAGTATGTTAAGTTCAGAAGAGCAGTATCCCCCAGAAGAATGCAATTCCTTTTCTACTCAGCCCTTACATAAAATCATGACTTTGTTAATTTGAGTTGGATGTGGTGGCGACCATAGAACTTCTGAAGAATAACCCCGTATATTTTGCAAACAGCATATGCCTAGGAGAAAACCTGGAGGAATGCTCACCTGTATTTGTTTCTATGAAAATATGTAAGATTTGAGTACATATGTATCTTAAAATATTTTTTAATTTTCCTACGCAACTAATAAAATCCTAATAAAATTTATAGATCTCACCATCTAATATTAAAAGCAGGGGGATAATCAAGTAATTAATACATTCACATATAATTCACTCTCTTGTTTTGGAAAGAAAAAAACTGGGATCTAGATGAGAAACAATGGTCTAAGCAACTGTTCTATCAGTAGGCTTTCCCATTTAAAGCCTATTTTCATATTTTAAAAATTTCATGTAAAAGGTTTAAAAAACTCTGCATTGATATCATTGGAATAATTTCTGTAAAGAGAGAGACTGTTTCTATCCTAAACTGGATGCAAATGATTTTTAAGTACTTAAACATCAGCTGCACCACCACAAATTGCTGTGGTTTGAAAAATAAACACACATTTACATATATTAATTTTGACTGAAGAACATCTCTCTACTTGATATATCCAAATATGTCAACTGCATTCCATAACAAAGTGAAACTCAGTTACATGGTAGCAAATAAACTGATAAAAAAACTAAACAAGCTTCCAAATTTAAAAAATTAGATTCACATTCTTAGCAAATGTATGACAAAAGCAGCCACAGTTAAGCAAATGAAAATAATCTCCATCATTTTTACAAGACGCTCTTACCTATAGACTGTGGAGAATCCATGTAAGGGTTGTATTTTGCATAATGGCAGCGGTCTGTAGCCAGCATTACTTCAAATACCTTGTCTGATTTGATTATTCCATTTTCTATAAACAAAAAAATAAATAAAACTGAAGGCATTGATTCTCTTTTGCCATGCAAGAGCCTGCGAAATGTGTTCATATATTCCTAACACTGTGAGAAATCATGGTACCTTACCCTCTCTAATACTCTTACCCATATCATGCTGCCTGTGGCAAGGGTTGGACTACCTGATCTTTAAAGCTCCCCTCCAGTCCAAAACCTTCTGTGACACTAGAATTATATCTGTGGTCCAGTGATCAAACAAAGCTTAAGCCAGTGAACTTTGAACAAGACTTTCCTAGCAGTTACAGATACTTTTCTGAAACCATTTGCAAAGATCTATCCCACAAGAAAATTCAACTTCATAGACACCTCTGATATTCCTGAAAATACAGTCAGTAAGAAACTGGTAATAGTCTACACACCAAACAAGACATACTTCATATTTCTAAGATGCTATATAAGTAATTATTGAAAAAATTTACAGAAGCAAGTTAGAAATGTGAAGCTGAAGCATCCTTGCTCAGTATTTTATTTTCAAGATCTGTTTCTCTTATGTTAGCTAACAAAAAAATCCTTTCATAAAGAAACTCCTACAGAATCAGAATTGTTATGCTTGGGCAGACTAAGGCCAAAAGGTTTTTATATCAAAACACTCTAACTGTTCACTTTTCAAAATAAAATGTGAATGTGCATGCATGTAAAATGTCAGAAGCACTGTGCAGTGCAGCCACTTTCCCCTCCAATTTCAATGAAGTTTTTTTTTAACAATCATAATTCTATTTTTTGAAGTTCTGAAGAGGCATTTGTGAATAACAGCAAATTTTGGAAAACAAATGGAAAAAATTATTATTTGCATTAAAAGACAGTATAAACTATAAATAACTGAAATTTCAAGGATGGATTGCTTTATTAATGACTTCCTTTAAATAAGAACAAGTTATTTGCAAAATTATACTTTAAAGGAAAAAATAGGTAACTTTATCAAAATTAAAATCTAACCTAAACCATAAAATCAGATTATGGAGCTTTTTTAAGATTGTCCCGAAGTGGCACCAGTGGTTTTGTTTTGAAGTACCACCAACACAAACACACCTGGGAGCAGGACTGGGCTTTCCTGACTGTTTACAGTGTGCTCCCAACTACACCTGTTAATGACAGGATTTTCTTGTCTTTTTATCTACCATCTGTGTCAAGGATTTATTTATCCTGTATAACATAGGCTTGAATTTGGAGAGCCAAATAACCCCCAGATTATTTTCCTTTTTGGTCTGAACACAAAGAATCAGATAGAACTGTGAAAGGAATATACTACTACTAAGGAAATTATTAGGGAAAACAGTTCCTTTTAAAAAAATATTAATTTTTAAAAGTATTTCTGTATCTGGTAAGTCCCAGAAAAGGCAAACACTCCCCTCACAGTCCACATGCATTACACATATCCTGTGCTTTGACTTCATTTAGAATGGGATACTTCAGCAGCTGGAGGAAACTAACTAATCATTTCAATGCAATTGAGACAGCAGGCATTTGCAGCAGTTCACAAGTTTACTTACTGAGCAGAACTATACTCAAAAGAAAATAAACAAATCAATCCATTGACACATTGGAACTGACAACATAAGATAATAAGGAAAAAAAGTTTCCCTGACCACGAGGAATTAGTTGAATTAGTTGTATAGCAGTTCTGTGAACAAAGCATAGAAACAAAACAAAAAAATCAAAATCAGAGTTTCATTAGGTACCAGTAAGAAATTAGTAACTCTAAAACAAATGTACTTTCAAAAAAAAAAAAAAAAAGGCACAAGAACAAGCAAAGCTGATTATAGCAAAAGTGAAGAGCTAAAAGTTCTGGAGAGCAGAAGGGAGGTCAAAAAGCAGCAGCTGAGAAGCACTCAGAAAAGATCTAAAATGGAGATTTATTTCTTGATGTTGTGTATTTTGTGGATAGGTGCACACATTCTAGAAATGTAGGTAGCCATCTGCTTTCTCCTGTAGTGCCTTGGGGAAACGAACACGCAGAAACAGACTAAGCTTCCAGCTTGGAAGAGCAACTGCAAGGCCCCATGGTAAGGCCAAGAACCTTCTCCATTTTTTAGGGGACCTTCTCTGTACTGCTGTGACTAAGTTTCTTCCAAACCTCTTCCTTCACATTACCTATAATCTGTTCCCTCTTCTTACAGAAGTCTTCACCTGCCACTCCTTCGTCTACTCCTGTCATCTTTCTAGTTAAAGTATCAGTAACTAAATTCACCTCTCAGCATTTAAAATTTTTATTTTGCCTTCATTATACTACTTTACTTATGTATTTTACCCGTTCTTACCCCAACTTGTTTAATCAGAGTATAAGAGCTCTATGGCCGAGACTGTCTCTCGATATGTGTGCAAAACAAAGCACAAAACTTTGTTTCAGTCAAAGCACATACAACTTTTAAAAAATTATTGAAAACCCCCTAAAAACAGAAACTACTAATATTCTACACATTCTGAGCATTTAGGACGCTCTCAGTCAGCAAATACTCCTGAGATTTGCTGATTGTTGGACCATCTTTGATTAGTGTCACCTTTTCATCAGTAAATAAGAATTTAAGCAAGTTACCCACACTCAGAGTCCCCAGCACAATCTGTAGGAGAAGCTGAATTTCACCTCAGTCATTTACTTCAATTATTAGATAATACTCCATCTTCACCAAAAAAAAACCAAAAAAAACACACAAAACAAACAAACAAACAAACAAACAAAAAAACCCCAACAACAAACCACACTTTCCCAGCTATCCCCCCATAGATTAAGTCTGCCTTTTTTTTTTTTTTTTTTTTTTTGGTCTCAGGCTGAATACAAAGAAACATAGCAACTGCAAGGCACTGAACTCCAATGAAAGTCCTTTCCTTCCTGCAACAGTCAGTCTGAAGATGACCAGCTGCTAGAATCATAATTCTGTCTGGATCAAGTCTCTATCCGATTCCAATTCAAGTCCAGAAAACAAGTATATTCCCTAAAAAGCCAATAATAGAAGACATTCTAATTTCATGCCTACCCAAAATCCAAGACAAACAACAATAAATTAATTATTAATAAAATGCCAACAAAAACCATGTTCTAAATCTTAAAAGGAAGTTGTATATTGCAAGAAAATAATTCACAGTTAAATATATATAGGTTGAATATCCTTTCCAATTGTAACATGCACACAAGACTCTCCTTGAGGAGACTGTTGGGTTGCAAGACTGATAATCATTACTGCAAACATATCAGGTATTAAATTATAAAGTGTTTACAAGCAAAGGTTAATACACAAACACATTGACAACTTAAAATCAAAAGTAAATTCTTTTTTTATTAGAGTTATATCAGTACAGCTCCTAAGCTTCAAAGGGCTGAAGCCGAAAAGTAACTCCTTAAGAGCGGAGCACTGCCTGCCAAGTTCAGGAGTTACTGTGCACGAAGGCTCTGGCAATGACAACTTGACATAATTGGAGCATGTTTTGAAAACGCACTCCGGTCTGCTTCTTTTCCCCAAATAACACCATGAAAACAGGAAAAGAGCTCAAAACTGGTGGAATTGGATTTGAAGGTGGAAATAAGTAAGTAAAGTAAGTAATGGCCAGTCTTCGCGAATGAAGAACCGGGGAAGGTCTTTCCACCTTCCAGCCTGCGCACTGGATTTTTTAGGTGAGACACAGTGTGCGCGGAACTGAGCCCACCCTTTAATCCTGAGGTTCATCTGCTGGGGCCAAGCGAGCTTGGACGATGGCAGCGAGGTCCTCAGGACGTAGATGGATTGCCTTACAGGGCTAACGAGCTCCATCTGCCCGGGGAGGGGCCCCGACCGGGAATCGAACCTGGGTCTCTGCAGTGACAGCGCAGCGCCTTTACCCTCTAGACCACCAGGGGCTCTGAAGGTGGAAATATACCACTGTTGAATGTAACCTGTGAAACTGGGGAGTTGGCTGTCAGAAATAAAGGAAAGAAGAGTCTGAAAAGACACCACAGACTTGCAACAAGTAAACAACCTATCTTTTTATTTTAACTTTTTATTTAGCAACAAATGCATTACTAAAGTGCTTATGTTTCAAAGAACCTGACAGCATCCTGAATGTTGATCAAACGCATTTCTAACCAAACCATAAGATACTAGCAGTCAACATTTACACCAAGTCTGGCTTCCAGACCAGAAAAGAGGATGTGTCATTGCCACATGATAAGATCCAGCACACAAGCTTACTATACAAATTATGACACCTACTCAAACACCTTCCATTGCCAGCTTTACAAAAAAAAAAAAAAAAGAAAGCTCTTACAGATCCCAAAACCATTTACTGTGGAACTACATCAGCATCCACAGAGTTCAGTTTCTTCTCAGATTATTGTCTCCATAACCACTGCAGAATACTTCCCTTATAAACACGAATTTTCAGCAAAACAGTGATATTTCTAAATCATACAGATATCATAAAGCATGATGCAAAGCACATACAGCTGTATGGAAGGATATTGAGGTGCTGGAGTAGGTCCAGAGAAGAGCAACCAGGTTGGTGAAGTGACATGAACACAAGTCCTATCTATGAGGAGAGGCTGAGGGAGCTGGGGTTGTTTAGCCTGGAGAGGAGAAGGCTCAGGGGAGACCTCATCATTCTCTACAACTACTTCAAAGGAGGTTGTAGCCAGGTGGGGGTCAGTCTCTTCTCCCAGGCAGCTCTCAGTAAGACAAAAGGGCATGGTCTCAAGCTGTGCCAAGGGAGGTTTAGGTTAGATATTAGGAAGAAATTCTTTACAGAGAGTGTAATTAGGCATTGAAATGGGCTGCCCAGGAAGGTGGTGGATTCTCCATCCCTGGAGGTATTTAAGAAGAGACTGGATGTGGCACTTAGTGCCATAGTCTAGTAACTGTGCTGGTAGTGGATCAAGGGTTGGACTTGATGATCTCAGAGGTCCTTTCCGACCCATCTGATTATATGATTCTATGCTACAAAAGATTAAAACAAGTAGATTAAAATTGCTCAAGTAATGACTCAAGGCTATAATTATAAATCATTGAATGGTTT